TCAATACCGATACAGTAGCCAGCGTGTACCGACCAGGTAGGTAAATATACGAAGTGTATTTATTAAAAATTTTGATTTGCATCGATATTCGTAAAAGATGCAGCAGTTTTGCCAAATTGTATAATAACACGATATAAGTTTATTTTCAGAACGCGGTTTGAGTGAGTGACTTATAGGCAGGCTATTCAGGCTTGAGTCAGCAGTAGATGATATATACCGCCAGAAATTGAATTGTCAATGCTCACTAATTTATTTCACTCACTTATTTATTTTTTGGCGGCGTCACTGAAAAACAACTTGAGCTCAGGTAGAAGTTGCATGCGCGGCGGCCAAGTGGATCACGAGATACCGGCAGACAGGTGCGAGGAACATCGCCTGCGATGTACCCCGTCGTCGTGAAACTTTTGAAACATAAAATACAGTATTCAATACCGGTGCAGTAGCCAATGTGGGCCGATCAAGCAGGTAATATATATAAAGTGCAATTCATGAAATTCTCGAATTTCATTATTATTTGTGAAAGATGCCACAAATTGGCGAACATGTTCAACAAGAAAAAAGCCAATCTATTAGAAATATACTCTTAGAAATGTGTTTGCTTTTTGTTAGAGGGTGGTACCTGTTGTCTCAAACTTAGGCCCGACAAAAAAAATCAGTCAGCGCAGCACGTAGATAGTGTATACCGCCGGTCAGAACTTCGGTGAGCAGGAAGGAAAACTGCTTGTGAGTGTGGTATATCAGGGTGTTCATGAAGTCTTATTTATTCTAAATTGCAAACGGAATTTATCGATACCATATATTGCTTTGACCCTCTCACAGATGTATTGAATCAATTTGAATGGAGTAAAAATACTTCAAAAATTACTGATTAAAAAATAACAAACCTGGTTAAGATGCATTGAGAACTGACTTCAGTTTACTCTTTAGTGCCATCTTGTGAATAAGTATATTTCTCTTAACCTATTTCAACAGTAAAGGGTTGTGGAGTCGAATATATGGGAGTGAAAAAGGTCTATTGGATCGTACTTTTTGTGTTTGCTGATTGCTTTTTATTATGAGCGCGCCATCTTACTGCAGAGGACCGATTAAAAACTTTTGTTAGGTGTGTTTTTTGCTATCTGTTATAACATGACAGTAGAGTTAGAGTTTGTCTTCTTGAGCGTCAGTTATATTTTCACACTCTCCGAGCCAAAAAAAACGAAAAAAGTTCTCTCATTTTCTGCCACGTCGGCAACGAAAAAAAGGCGGGGACGTTATAAATAGTTCCCTTTAAAAATCAGAAAAGGCAATCAGGAATCTGATCACAAAAAGAGAAAATATTATATTAAATAAAAAACAGATAATTGTAGAGCAGCAGTCTGTTTATGAAATCGACAGTCTTCTATTTGCAACTGGTTATGTTCAAAATTTGTGAGAGAGGTGAACGAGACATCCTCGGTCCAAAAATGAAAAAGGGTTGAGAAATTGAGAGCATCGAAGAAGTCGGGAAAATATACATAAATATATAGAAAGCACTCCAAGTACCTTTGCTCGGAATCTTCAGTTTGTTCTAGCCGCTTGAATTATGTAGATTATGTATATATTGAAATTCAAATTCTAAAATCATCCCAATTTAATAATAATAATAAATTTATGTTAAGTAATGTTTTAACTTGTCATCTAATATACTCAAAGATCTACTAATTGAATTTTAACTAAAGGTTGGCCATACGATTATGTATTTTTTCAATGCGGCCCTTGCAATGGAACTTTACCCACCTCTGCTCCAGCCTGTCCATTTCACGCTGAATATATATGAAAGGACCAAGTTAACTGGTTAGATCTCTTGGACATCTTCCTGTTTGTGTATCACTTGCCGAGGGCGTGATATGCACGCAATCTGCACGTGTTCACATAAAATCAGAAAAAGGCAATCAGGAAGAGAAAAAGCTTATAATAAATAAGAAACAAATAATTATAGAGCGGCAGTTTGTTTGCGAACGCGACGGCGTTCGTTGTGTGCCACTGTTAAAAAAAAAGTTTTGTAAAAAAAGCGAACCAGACGTTTAAAAGGAAAAAGGGCCTCTAGAATTTGAGAGCGACGAAAAAAGAACAATTTCTGCATTGAAAGAAAAAAGCTTGCCTTTTTTCGTTTGTGTCGAAGTTTGACATGTATATATACAGATTTTGACCTATGTGGCGCGGAGTTTTCAGTTTGTGACAACTATGCATCGGCCAGCAGGTCTTAACAACCGATCGCGTATAAGTGTGAAAATGTGCATTTCTACGATAGAAAATATTACCAAAAGACTTAATTTTAATGGAAAACTCATAAACCGGTAATTGTAATTTGCCAGCGAAATTATTTTTATTGCTGAGAGGTTAAATGTCTTGTTTGAGAGATATTTTGTGTGAAATCGCACGAAAAACAATACTTGGAAACCTGGAAATGTACAGATAAAAATTATGAAAGATTCCTTGGTATGTATATGTAGGCATTTCCTTGCAATAGAGTTGTCAATTGATAGATGGCCGTTGGTATGATACCTGAATTGCTGCCGAAGGGTTTTTGCTGCGTGGAAAGAATTTACGAATTCCTGTATGAGATATATGAGCGTTTGTACAATTTTTTCAAAAGGGCGGGGGAATAAAATGACTTTGAAACCTTTTAGTTGCGTTAATAACAATATTAATTGGATTATGAAGTCGTATTTCGTTATTACCAGTAAGAGCGGCCTTCGGCCGAGGTCTCCGACTAGTTTAAAATTAAAATCGTGTGATATCTATCGACTATATTTTAAAGTACTAGTGTCTAAGCGTGACAATGGTGTTTGTGGACCTGTGACTGTAACGTTAATGTTGCCACAAATTATATCTCCAGTCTTTTTCATCTCCCCTTAGGTTGAAGACGAACATCCTGTTAAATATTATGGCTAAATTTCCTAATGAACATTTCAACTCGCGAGAGAGAGTGACAGTTCCACGTAGAATTGCATAATTGTTGCGCAACTATTCTCTTTATTTAAAATTTTTGATTACAATTCTATTTGCACGAAACCTGAATTTAATAGTCATCGGTCTTTACCACATTTTACGAATACAAATTGAGTTTTGCGGTTACGGATATCATATCACAAAATGATGTAATCTGTGACCCGCCTCGTTGTACCCTGCGCTTTAAAACTGCATATCTTTCACTTTCGTTTCCTGTTTTGCTAATATATGTAGACCCTATCATGACTTCCTATTTATATTGCCTAAGTTTATCTCGAGTTTATTACTGTCAGGCGTAACTAGTCCTGGTTTTATCATGTCTCGCTTGAAGATCAAGACTCGCATTAAGAGCATTTTTGAATCGATTCGTGGTGGTGATATGTAGGTATATTATTTAATTAAAAACCGATGATAAAATTATTCACTAACTACTGATTGTGACGAATTCAGCAATTTTCGTTCAAATTTGCATTTCCTTAGCTGCGTTTATAAACCTAAAAGCATAAAGATATATTTATACATGATTCACGTAACCCTGTGCTCAAGAATTCCCGATGGCCTATTGAACAGGAAATCACACAGGTTTTGACATGTCATCGTTACTCAATCAATTCGCTCAAACGTTGCTGAGCGTCTATGGCCTAATCAATGAATAATATTTAATATAGTTCACCCAGAGGATACCTTATTTGTCAATAAATGCTAAATGCTAATATTAGGTTTTTAATAAGGTGTACTTTTTTCCTGGTAATCTCCCAAGGTACCCCCTAACGGTATTCCGTTTTTGTGCAATCAAGTCCCTTTATTTCAACGTTGTTGTGTCTTGTTTCATAATGAGTGAATAATATTTAATAAATTATTGTGTCCGAGGGTATTCCCTGTTTGTCAATAGATGTTGAATGCTGTAATTATGTTTTCAATAAGTTTACTTCCTCCTGGTAATCTCCCCAGGTACGCCTAACGATACTCCCTTTCAAGTCTCTTTGTTTCAACTTTTTTCGAGCATGGTGTTCCAGGATAACATTTAATATATTATTATTATTATTTAAGAACTACTGGGGATTTTCCCATTGGTAATTTTATTCTTGGTAAATTTACTTTTTTTACTGGTTATCAAGCATGGTTCTGATTCTATTGTTACTGATGTAAGACGAAGGACTCTCCAGAAATGTATGTAACCTTCAATATGGAGGTAACTAATGTTCGCCTACTTTCATCAAGTTGTGTAATAGGACTTGGTGGGGGATATATCCCCGAACTCATTGTAGAACTAAAATAAGAAAAATCGGAATAAAATTATGGCCTAACCCTAACCTGGTAGACATACTACGGGAGTACCAAACAAAGTAGTTATAGTGAGAGTGAAGGGCCCATCCTCTTAACATCCTAATAGTGGATTTTTGGTTAAGTCTTGGTGTCAGAGGTTTTAGTAGGTTTCACATCTTTATATCAATACTCATCAAACATGCAGGCAGTGAAATCGTCAATGTTGAGTTATTGAGTAACATTTGAGCATTGTTCAAACTGTGTATTTCGATATCGCTAGTTTCTTGGTCATTTTCTTGAAGTCAAGTCAAGTTTATTTTTTCCAACCAGTAAATAAAAAAAACAAATAAACACAGAAAATACGAGAGAAATAAAGAATAAAATTACAGTTTTACTGGGGAAGGGAAGTCGTGTGGAACCCAAGATAGTTATCGAAAAGTGACATCCAAGGTTCAAATATCTAATTTGAAAATGTGAAATTTTAGGACAGGAATATTTTCAGTAATCTTTATATAAGTGATGTCTTTTTAGAAACACATATTGTTCCTTCCATGGGGTGGAACTGGAAATAATGGAGAAATAAACATTAAAGTTAGAAACTAACATTTATTCAGTCTAATATTGATACAATTTTTTTGAATTCATTCCTTAGAATCAGATTGTACCTGAGGACAAACACAGATTTGATTTCAAAAAATGTCAAGCAACCTGTTTATTTTGTTTTCAGCATATTTGATAAAAAATATACTAAATTACAAACTTTAGGCTTAAATTGTTATCAGATCAGATGCTCGTATCTGTAACAATGGCTGTCGCAATTGAAGAGTCAGAACCTTTCCGAAAGGTGGAAATAGTGGCAGATGGAGGCAATTATGCGCCTGATGTGCGAAAAATTCGCAAAGAAAAGATTCCTGCGATTGGCTGTATTTCTCTCAAGTCTGCAAAAAGATTTTTGCTTTTTTTTGATTTGGCAAATCAAGCTGTCAATGACTATTTACTGAGCTTATCCAGTGCCGGTGAATTTAATCCGGAAATCCCTGATCAGGAACCACCGACTTTCTTGGACATTCAGTCCCTTACAAAACTATATACTGGGACTGGAGATTTGCCTCCTGGGAATATGATAAACACTCTTATGAGACAATCAAACGTCAAACTAAGTCCTTATGTCAATTCCATTCAAAAACAACAGTTCAGTAATTCCGAAATATTTGCTATGGCATTGTTTCCTGGAGCGAAATCTAAATATTCTCAGCTAATCATTCAGCTGCAAGCACTTGGCCCCCATTTCTCTCAGAAGATCTGTGAATGGATTCTTTGTCTTTTTAAATTAATGATGCAGAATCTGGGAAACTGCGCATCAGTCATTTCCCCTGGAATTATGACTATTGTTGAAGAGTGTAAAGGAGAACCATTCAGTCAATGGATCGAGAATAATGCTTTTACATTTTTATGCGTTCAAGGTAGGGATAGTCAAGGTATTACATAATTCTATGTAGAATTTTTTTTGCCTGTATAATTCTTCATCAATCTGCTATTCACTTTTCAAAATAGAATGATTTAATTTTTTAAACATGTTTTCTCTATAATAGTTTTGATTTTGTATTGCATGAGTTTCAATTGTTTTGTTTGCATCATAGCTAGACTTTCTCTATTTTAGTGGCACTGCCTGTTCAATATTCTCATTCTGGTTTTAATTTATTTTTGTTTTTTGTTTCGTACTTTTGTAGTCAAAGCTGTTTTCAAACCAGTGTTGTTTTCTCCACTCCAGCTGAAGATCGTGAATTCACAGTATGATACGTTATAGATATTATTCTTTGACCAAACAGCCTTATAACTAGATAGTTTCTTTTACAGTTTTTAGTTTGATTTAGATAGTTTTAATTCAATGCTTGGTTTTCAATTTTGAAAAGTCGAGGCTTCAATCACCTCGATTAACGGTGAGTCTGGTAAATTCTTTAACTGACCTTTTTTTCTGCGTTATAATTATTAAAAAGAATTTCATTGTGTTAGCTGTAATTATACTGGTATTGCTGTGTTTACTGTGAGATTGTTTGCGATTTTTGATATGAAACTTAACGGACTAATAAAAGAATTGAGTATTAATTATCGTAATATATGTTGTTTTTTTGCTTTTGAAAAATTCCTACTCAATTCCATTATAATTTGCATGATATTTGTTTTGGACCTGAAATGCTTCACCCTATGCTAATATACTCAAGGCCATTGCGCTAATACCATAGACACCATAACTACAAATAATACAGCAAAGGTGTATTTTTACAAGTTTTATAACAGAATATTTCTGCTTCTACACACAAAACTAGTGGACAAGTTGGAAATATAAAAACATTTGCCTTGAATTAACTTACTTAGATGCTTGTGTTAGTTATGAAGTGAGGGGATGAGAAAGTACACAAAGGATTTAGCAACACCAAAATTTTAAAGTTGATCCCTTTTTTTAATTTGAATGATTTGCAGCAAAACGTTCAAAATTGAAAATAAGGTACTACTCCTGTAGTGTGTATATGTACCAGGTTAGGGTTGAGCCATAATTTTATCCCGATTTTTCTTATTTCAGTTCTATTACGTGTTTGGGGACTGTTTGTGTTAACCAAGTGGATATACCCCCTGTCCATAGGTTTCAGTCTCTTTACACAACTTGATGTAAAGTAGGCGAACAAAACTAGTTACTCCCATATTGGTTGGTAATTAGTTACTCCCATACCAAATATTTGAGTTAGAACCACCCAAGTTAATATCTTATATATCAAATCAATATTTAGAATTTGGTTTTCTTTTATCAGGTCAAAATGCTCTTTTGATACAAACTTTTAAATTAAAGATACATCCTTGAACATGCTTTGCCAACAACAAGTGGGGTCAGAATTTTTCCAACATCCGATAACATCGAGGTAATATAACTTTCAATTTTTTATATTCTTGAATTTTTACTTTTGCAATTCGAAATTGTGTGCATACACAGGTTCGAATCCTGTGGGGGGTAATTATGTGCAAGAGGATTGCTGGACGCTGGACTAGAGTGGTTCATGTAACCACTGGTCGGTTACGGCTTCCTTCACCATCAAGTCCACGCTTTCAAAAACAAAATAACCGGCAAACTAATCCCATACCCGACATGGACTGGTAACCGGATGAGAGCCGGGGTTCGTCATATTATCAAGCCATCTTATTGGTTTTCAAGTCTAATGTGAAGGTATACATACCTCCTATCAGCATGATTAAGAACAAAACCTCAGCATATGTTCAATGTTCTTAATAGTTTGTTTAAATGGCTTGTTTTCTTTTGCTTGTGTCATAGATTACAATTGTATTGAATTTCTCAGATGACTCATTCTTCAGCTATTGTATAACTGATTCCTGGTCCACAAGGTTGCACAACATTGCATCATTATAAGGTTCAATTGACATTAACTGTTCTAATTTTCTTCAAATCACTCTCAAATATATTGAAATTCGATATTGAATCATGTGCGTTAGTCATATAATTAATTCCACTATTATTTAACACTATGCTGAATGCCTTTTCTGCTGCACTTTTTTGTTCCGTGCTGCTGAGTCTGTTACTGCTATGTTGCGTAATACGCACTATGTTAAATCATAGTAATCTAGTGTTGTACAGGCTTTTTGCAGTCATTCCTAGCCATTGAAAAAATCATTACGCATAAATAATAATAGTAAGAGGCAGAATGTAATGTTGACTTGATATTCTGTCATGTAGAAATTTAAACTCACCATTAATTTACTTGACAAATGCTTATTTGCATTTGTAACTAATGGGATTGTAACATGAGATTGACATATAAGGTTACACAACACTGATAATATAAGATAATTGTGAGTTTAATTTATTAACTTTAAATATCAACTTCAAAATGATTCAAGTCTAATGTGAAGGTATACATACCTCCTATCAGCATGATTAAGAGCAAAACCTCAGCATATGTTCAATGTTCTTAATAGTTTGTTTAAATGGCTTGTTTTCTTTTGATTGTGTCATAGATTACAATTGTATTGAATTTCTCAGATGACTCATTCTTCAGCTATTGTATAACTGATTCCTGTATAGAGTATATAGTAATAGAGTTCAAGTCACTTCAAGTTTTTGATAAATGGTGACCCCAGACGAAGTGTCAGTAGTTTAGCGTGTTCTTCGTGCGTAGCTCAATGCAATTTGCCATTTAATTTTAATTTGTACAAACATTATTTGATTTAGCATTCCAACAATGCTGACAACCATGGAAAAAAAACATTTATTTCAAAAAAGTAAGAGTTATTTGACCTTGATTAACAAATAAATGTTTTCTTGAACAGATTTGTTTGTTTAAGTTCATTTCTGATTAACCCTCTCCATGCGATTTTTATTTTTTATTAAATAATCGTATTTGCTACGCCGATTTTATGCATTTGTACCCCCACAACTAATCGATCGACTAACGAAAAACTAATGATCCTCTGCTGCCCACTGACGGCTCGTTGGAAAGCTTATTCAAAGAGCTTGCAATTGGCAATTAAAAAAAAAGTTTTTTTAAAAGTGGTGGTCTGAGTCACAAACCGGATAGAAAAAAGGCATTTTTTTTTGGGAGTTGAAACTTCAAACCGTGACAAAAAATAGAAATATTCGCTAAATCCTTTACTGTTACCGCTTCGTGGTTGGCAAACAATAGCATAATATTGCTGTAGCAATTTCGTGATCTAACTCAAAATACTTTGGTAGATGGAAGGGATAATATGTCTTCTATTACCACCCAAAAAACACAGAAATTTGCATAAATTTCAAAAACACTCCCTCGTTTCGTCGCAAATAAAATTCCCGTCGTAAACGAAAGCGAGATTTACTGTCGCTTATGTTAATCTCGAAGAAGACTTCTTATCAATAAACTAAAACCAAAAAAAAACAGACCAACAGTTTGCGCCGATTGCTAAATAAAACAGTTGAGTACATCAACGTACCCGCCGCAATCTAGCGACTTTTGTCGTTGGTACGTATACGTGCCCACCGCACGGAAAGGGTTAAAATGAGTAGTGAAAGCATTTTTATTCTTTCTGTCCTTTTGGTTTTGTTTTAATGCTTCATGGAAAATAGGAGCTTGATTTGCTTTTCACTGAAAGACCTTTTCTATTGATCTGTGCTTGAATGAATTAGACTTTCAAATCAATGTCTAAGGCCTCATTTCCATTCCCAGGGAGAAATTTTGTCATGCTTTTGCATTGTATTTGCTGTAGTACTACTCATATTACTTGTAACATAGTACATGTACATGTAAGCCAATATTGACTGTTAATGATTCATTCTAAAGTCATAGGCATAGATAATGAATTCTCAGGTATAGGCTTCACAACGCAAAAGGATTGAAATGACTTGCACTTATGAAATTACCAAATTCCACATTATTCAAAATTGGCACTTTTTCGCAAGTCGCACAATTTTTCCTTGAGGGTCGCAGGTTGCACACCCCTGATTTGAAGTACGCAGATATCACTTTAAGTTATTGATTAATGGTGACCCCAGTCTCAGTGTCAGTAGTATAGTGTGTTCTTTCTGCTTAGCTCAATGCACAAGCGTCATCTAATTTTAATCTGTACAAACATTATCTGATTTAGAACTCCAACAACTATGGGACATTTATTACTCAGGATAAGTAAGAGTGACCCTAATTAACAAATGAATGTTTTCTTTAACAAGATTTACCCGTTTCAATTATTATGCTAGATGAGTTATCAGAGATTCTTTCTGAATCGCAATAACAAATTTTACTTGAAAAAAGTAATTAAAGTTTAATTTGCATAAATCTTGTTTCGATCAATTTAGGTGTTTAAGCCAGTGTTCTTCAACCTTTTTTATCGTGGTATACCTTTTACAATTTTTCAAGAGCTTTGTATACCTCACAAATACCAATGTTTATTTAAGGCTTAAATAAACATAAAATTTTAAGGACATATCGTACTGCAACATCATCATGCAATCTAATAGGCTAGTGTCGCAAGTTATAAATTTGACTGACGACCTTAGCGCTAACAGGTATAATGTTCAACGGAAATCAAACGAAGAGCAGGACAGCCGAAGTCACCAACCCAAACACCGCATTATCTATATAATTTGTGATGTAACAATGTGCTCATGTCGGTTCTTTGCTTAACTGACATTTTATATTTCATATGCGCCGCGTTTGCATTGTTGTCTCCGCTTGAATATTTTATAATTTAGAATCACTGACTTAGGCTGTACACCCTTTGTATACCCTTTATCAGTTATATACCTATATTATGGTCCGGTATACACTTGGGTATACTGTATACCCGGTTGAAGAGCACTGGTTTAAGCTAATTCTTGATCTTCACTAATCACAAATCTGACTCTTGATATTTTATTTATCTCCCCTTGAACCTACTGTTTTTATTTTTAATAAAAACGCTTGACATATAAAAAGAATTCCAAGAATACAATTTGAATGCCTATAGTTGTGTCTTATAACTCTTCTTATGCCACTGGGTTCTTTCATTCCTACATTCCTTCAATTGCCTATTTCCCTTCTCCCTCCTCACTATTTATACATTTCTGTCATTTGTTCAATCTCCTGAGCTAGTGTTGAGTGAGCAACTCACACTCTGCAACAGTTAAGATAGTTTCAATTTGTTCAGGAATGATTAATAAAGTGATGATATTACTGATTTTGCATGAAAAGCATTTCATCCCCCGAAACCAACAAAATTTCCCATGATAAAGATTCAAGTTTTTATTTGTTGTGCTAAAATCAATTAAAGCTTATAAAAACTGGAACATTGATTTACAAAATTAAACTCTTTGTTATGCTTGTCCTCTGACCAGGGTTATTGAGTCTGGGATAAGTTTCAATCAAATCTGACTCTTTCTTTGTTAAGGAAGGCCTAAACTTGAGTACCTCAATCTTCTGAATGCCAGACACATTCTGGAAAAATATTGAATCTAGATCTGTAGTTTTTGGACTTTCTGGTCTTTGTTGCTTTTTAAAAACACACAACACTTGCTCCCCCTGTTCTCTTTTGAAAATAACTAGTTTGATTTAGCATCTTCGTTTGGTCCAGTTTTGAAAAGCACATATATCCATTTCTACAATTTTTTGTCACAATTATTCAGTTAAAGTTTTTTCTAATCTAGAAAACAGCAATTTTTGAATATATATATTAATTGCAAATGTAGTTTGGTTTGTTTTGAACTTCTCCAAATTAAACGATCTACCTTCCAAATTTTTGTTATAAAAAGGTTCATCCGATTTCAATCAATTTTGAAAGAGTTTTATTTTATTTTATAATTGCCTGTTGGATTCGTCGCATATTTGGTGATATGTAAAATATTATTCATTAATTACCAATTCACCAATTATTCATTAGAACGTATTCCGATTATATTTCACCGATTATACAATTAATGCATCTAAAATAAATCACTAGTTATTATTTCAATAACTCGTTATGAACTGGCAATCACATTAAAAGCCATATGATTAAGCAGTACAGTATTTCAATTTTTTTCTTTCACAGAAATATGATTCTATAGTTTCTATCCTGGTTTTTTCTTAATTGAGTGACTTATTAAACATGGTATATGGTGACTAATCATTATTTTCAGTGTTTTTAAAAATCATTTCTATTAGCCTTGCGTTAACTTATTTAATGCATTTCATCTTTCTTGGGTGTCATTGCTTGATATAAGCTTGGTTCTCCATGGCTTCCATTTTCTGGTAAAAATAGTGTGTTCATCTTTTCTCAAAATTTTGTTAGCCATTATTTTTTATTCTACTGGCTGGAAAAAATAACAAGATGTAAGAAGCTGGAAAAATCAAGATTGTTAAAATTATTGTGAGGGAATCTTAATAAATTCATCTAATTCACTTTTTTTCAGGCGAGATTGTCCCTTAGCTCGAGGAGAAGAATGTGGCAACATTCCAATACAGAGTTTATTCGGGAAGTCAGAGCAATTAAAAACACAGGGACAGGTATTTTCTTTATTTACAGTAATGCCTCGGTAGCCAAACATTATTCATTTCAGATTGGATGTTCGCCTTAGAGTACATTCACGAGTAACCACAGAAAGCACCGTATGTGTTGTCACTAGATTTTGCATCATTTTTGAGAATGGAAATGTAAAAAAATCTTGGATAGAAGATTTTCCTGAAACATATATAATCATGTACGCGTCTCACTCAATTTTCACCCACTTCCCGCCCCCTCTGCCTAACAGAAACAGTCCCCGAACTCGTAATAGACTCATTACTGAAGTACCCACCACCCAACGTATGATAAATTAGATAGGCAATGCTGATCCAAAAGTTTCGCTCTTACTAAATGATAAAAAATTCAACCAATAAAATATAGTGAGATATCAGTGCCCGACCCCCCCTCCCATCTCTATTAATACATTTCTGGCTACAACCCTGATTAGAGCATTAGATCTAACTAGGTTAGCTCTACAGGTTAAATAACTAGGTCCAAACTCTGTTTCCAGAACTTTTTTCACAAAACTCTTTTTCATCTAGGAGGAGGTTCTGCAGCAGAAAGATCCAAATACTGGAAAAGTTCTACGGACTGTGAGATATCCCGCAGATTTACCAGAGCGGATTAGACAGACTGGTAAGTGGTAACTCCGCAAATATAGAAATTATGGAAGTTTCATATTTATCTGATGGCAAACCATGGTTTGTTATCCAGTTGCCAGTCCAAAATGTGACATTGTAATACTTCAGGGGAGAGGGGGTGGGGACAAATTAAAGCCTGTGGGCTGGATCCGGCCCACCGAAGTGTTTCATTCGGTCCCCCTGTGTCTACTGAAATTACGACTCAGAGTGAGTAAGTATTTCTCACCCCTGGAATAGTTTATTTTTTCGTTCAGTATTAAGTGTCTCTGCATGTTCAACCAGAACAAGACCACAGACAAGTAGCCACTGTTCATCAAGTTGCAATTCAAATACCATGCCCATCTCCTCATCCAGGTTATAATAAATTGCATAGACTAAGCCAAACCGGAAAGATTCCAATCCTCAGCAAAATAGAAGATCCACTCATTATTATATGAAAGTGGCTTCTTCTCCAGTGCCTAGTTCGAAACAAAATGTGATCGCCGTACAAAAACTTTCTGTACTCCCGAAGTGTGTGTACCAGGTTAGGGTCTTTCCTTTATTCTGATTTTCTTTATTTTAGATATATTACGAGTTCAGGGACTGTCTGTGTTACCCAATTTAATATCCCTCTGCCCATAGGCTTCAGTCCCTTTACACAACTTGACGTAGAGTAGGCGAACAAAATTAGTTACCACCATATTGGTACACATACTTCTGGAGCACCAAAATTTTTACTATTTAGTATTAATTTCACGTTAGGTAATTTCATCGATATCTGTAATTTCATTTTTTAGGTGGTATATTTGAAATTGGACCTAATAATACAATAAGAATACAAACCGGTCCAGGACAAAATACTGGAAATGTTGGCGCACATGTGGCTCGAGCACCCCAACCTATAAGATGGAGAATGGCAAATGTTATTTCCTCTGATCACAGAAGATTTTTAACTAACTTACATTTGCACAGAGAACTTGACAGGTGAGATCCAAAATGAAATATTTGTTTTAAAAAGTGCAATTATTGCAACTGTTTCAGGAGGCGTTACATGAGAAATTTCAATTTTGAAATCTCTCTTTTGAAAATTCTGGCTGTGCTGGGCAATTTTAATTGCCTTTTTCATTTAGCTATATGTCAAGTAATAGTGCATTTGCCATAAATAAACCAGTGATTGACCAATAAGCAATAACATTCTTTTTATTCAGACTTGCATCATTTGCTCGATGGCCTGTTGGTCAGCCCAATGTGTCACCGACTGCTCTTGCAAGAACAGGATTCTTTTATCTTGGTGACATGGACAGAACTCAGTGTTTCTCATGCGGAGGAGTTTTGAGGAATTGGACCGTTGAAGATGACGCATTAGTGAGTAAATGACAAACTCGAAGCAATTTTTCAAATGTGTTAACTGACTGTACTTCACTCAAATCATGGATTAGTTTGGCAGGAATAGGTGGCTCAATCATATGGCAAACTATGGTCACTTTTTGGGTTTGATTCAGACATACCAAACACCAGACCATACAAAATTAATTTAATGCACAATTTTTTTTTCGTAAACAGTGAATTTTGACTCTCGCTCCCGACTCAGGGTTATAAAAATTTTGACGTTTATCTCTGAGAGTATCCAATTTTAATAGCGAAATCTTTGATATACGCAAGCTTCTTTAAATAGACTGTTAAGAACACTTGGTAAGCCTAATTAATTTTCAATTTCTGTGAAAAATTTCAACTTCTTATAATCACCAATTACCATTGGATGTATAAAATTTTAAACTCAGACTCTGGGTACCGGTAATTCAAAAATTTATTTTCGACTTCGGCGGTTTAAATTTGCGATTCTGACTCCACAGCTAAATAACGTGCTGGAATTTGAATTACATGATTCTCTGATTTTTTTTTAAGTCTTTTGGTTTAAATTCAAAAACATTTTTTCTACAGGCAGAACATCGTTCACATTTCCCCAATTGCAAAATGGTACTTGGAACCGAACATCGAAATAACCCAGTCAATAAGTTTGCAGACCCACCTGCAGATCGTGCAATAAATTATCCCTGCAGATTCCCATCCAATCCACACATGAGAAATGAGGTTGCAAGACAAGCTACTTTTGATCATCGATGGTCGGTGGGAAGAACAGCTGCAACTCCGTCAGAAATATCACAAGCTGGATTCTTCTTTCTTGGTAATATTTTATAATCTATGAAATTTTTCACGTAAATTATCCTGTCACCCTAGTAGTGTGTGTTTTATAGAAAGTCCGGATTGAAGTTTCGTTCCAATGGTAACAACAAAAAATGCGCCGATCTTTGTGAAATTTCTAGATTTTTTCACAATTTATCGCCATTTTCTCGGCAACGAAGTCAAAAATTAAAATTCCAAGAATGCTACCTTCCGCATAGCAAAATGCTCTTTCCAATAAGTCGTCTCCGGTCTCGATACTCCATAAACCGGAGAATCCTTGAGGATTTTAGTGAACATCATTTTTTCAATTTCAGCCACTGTATACGAGTCATGCGAGTATGTCAACGTAACACGCAGCGTTTGAAATGAACTCAACGGAACATGCAGCATTTAAAATGAACTGGCATTTTTTAGTAGTGTCTCCTATTATCCGTTGGTAAACTTAAATGACTCGGGCCTCAAACAGTGGCAAAGATCCAACTGGGCGCCTACCGGCTTGTAAAACTATGAATGAGTAATATTTTAATGAGGCCAATGTGCTTGCATATTCGAATCGAATCTTGACTTCATTCTCGGTCATGGTGGATCTCAGTACTCGTTACGAATCTTTAAATTTGATTGATATTTTGTTTTACCATAAGTTTGGGTCAAAATAGATTTTACTGTGATCGTCATTAAGCTATTTCGGGACAAATCGATGATTGGTACCTGCTCTAACCAGAAGGCTTAATTTTTTGTGAATATCTGCAACTCTGTAACAAATTTTATTAAACTCAATAACAATTTATTTAAATTTGGAGTTTTAATTAATCATATTTTGGAAATAATCATATAGGGTAGAATTTTTGGTACTCCTGTATTATGTAAACCAAGATGGCGGACCCCGGAAAGTAATATGTATACCTGGTTAGAGTTAGGCCATAATTTCAGGTACAAATAGTACGGGAGTCACTTGGCTAGTCCGCGGACTCGAAATAGAACTAAAATAACGAAATTTGGAATAAAATTATGGCCTCCCCCTAACCTGGTACAAATACTACATTCCAGTGTCTGCCATCTTGGTTCACATACTACTGGAGCGCCGAACTTTCTGGGATAATATTTTTATTCCACTATAAAAATATAAAGTTTAACGAAATTTATAAATTTCACCATCTATGAAAAAACGTTTTAATTTTCATTCCAGGAGAACGTGACCGTGTCAAATGTTGGTATTGCAATGGTGGTCTTCAAAATTGGGAATATGACGACATACCATGGAACGAACATGCAAAATGGTTTCCAACATGTCAGTTCTTATTGCAAGTAAAAGGACAACATTTTGTGTATCGGCAATCAACAATGAACCATCATCTTGCTCGACCGATTATTACAAAACAAGATGGAGCGACCGTTGACCCCGGCGACGTTGGAGGTGGATCGAGTCAAGGAAATGTTGATACACTACCTAGTGGTCCAATAGACAGACAACCTGAACCAACACCAGAGATCATTGATCCACAGGTACTAAGTTGAATAACAGACTAGTGACTCCTTCTAGACTAGTGATTCTCAAACTCGTCTGGCAGGCCAATTACGCTCTCATAATGATTTAATATGGCCCGCCGAACTTAGGTGAAATAGTTCAACACTTTATGTTATGGATATACTGCCTTGGCAACGCTCCCGACTTTTTCCACTCCTAGTTTGATCAATCAACTTTGGGAACCAATGTGCTAAAGGGTTATTCAGTAGTCATTCATTAGTAAGAGATTCTTACAACTGAGTAAATTTATGAACTAGACATTTCTATTTAATACTGATCCTCCCTAAATAATCAGGTTTCTAGTTTCAGGCTGAAATGAGAAAACGCAAAGAAAGAGTGAAAACTACCACGGAGAAATCAGATCTTGTGAAAAATATTTTACTGATGGGATTTGATAAAAAAGTTGTGAGTTCTCTTTTTTATTCTTCTGATTTTGTTTTTAACCTCCAGACCTGAATGGATATCTGTGGAAAATTTCTTTTATCACCAATTAATGTATGAAATTTGAAAGTCACGATCCGGGTAATTCAAAATTTTATATTTAACTCCAGAAGTTTAAAATTGTGACTCCAACTTCAAAAAAAAAAAAAACGTCAAACTCTGGCCCCACAGCCTGGTTCTGAAATTCGTATTGAGTGGTTCTCTATCTCCAAAATTGCTTTTCAAGTCTTTCGGTTAAATTTGTGAACATTGGGAACATAAATTTTTGCAGAAAAATCTATTTGTGTATCTATTAGGGCTGCGAATTTCAGGGGGAACACCTTAAACGTTAACCGGGCAAAATTAACCGGTTATCCGCAGCGTGACGTTTGACATAATTTATAATTTTAGCTTGTACGTCACGATAAATTTGCGATTACGTAATCATTTTTAAAAAAATTGTACATTATAAAGATGTTTTGTACCTGAGATGTCAGTTAACAGTTAAAATAAATCGTAACCATTAAGTATCTAAAATCGGTTAATCGGTTAACCATTCCCAGCCCTTTTACTGTATCTATATATTGTTATTTTTCCACATGTCTTGCAGCAGAATGTCCATGAGGCGAAAAGTCTGCAAACCACTAGTAGTCAGTGCTATAATAAATCTTGAAATCAGCTCAGCTTAGATTTTTTTGTCTCAAGCCTTGTTCTGAGCAAAATAACGTAGAATTTGGAAATGTCTCTTGAAATCCCAGGTTGCAGCTCTCCTTGAAGATAACATCGAAAGTGGGAACGTTGCAAATCCTGATGATATTTATGATTCTATGTCAAGCTTACTTGATGATGTCACGAAGAAAGAAAAAGAAATCGAAGAAGAGGAGTGCCAGATGCAGGCTGCTGCCCAGATACCTGCAGTGAGAAATGTTAGCAAATAGTCTCTTGAATTTATAAGATATTTTTATGCCACAATTGCTAACCAAAACTGAACAATTTCCAGAAACAACCGAGCAAGACGGAAAAAGAGAGAATGTGTAAAATTTGCTTCAGTAATCCAGCTGATATGGCTTTTATTTCTTGTTCTCATATGATTTGTTGCATGGAGTGTACGCAAGCAATCAAACAGTGCCCCATTTGTCGAAAAAAGATAGAGAAAACGATCAAATCTGAGGTATATTGTGTTACAAGTTGTTTTATTTATCTTAATTTAAGAGCTACAGAGATGGATATATGGTCTTAATGACATCACTGACCATCTAATACTCAACTGGCAACTGGTAACAACTGGCAACTGGTCAAGAGTCTGTGGTACGCAATATCATAAAGCTGTCTTATTACCAGTAGTTTTCCTCTCTCCCTGTAATTAATATATAAAATCTTAAACTATATTTTTATTGGCAAATGATATTAAATAAAAAAATTTCATATTCTTGATGAAATGTTTTCACACAGAGTGAATTTTGCAAGAAGATAGCAATTTGGATACCTTAGGTTTGTTATAAAAAAGAATTCAAGAATCTATTTCATGTTATTCCCAGCAGGAAAACCATATGATTAAGTAGATTTATCGGCCCTCCCGAAATATGTGCACCAAGATGGCGCACAACCTAAATCCTAACCTGGTACACATTATATGTTCAGGTTATGCACCATCTTGGTGCACATACTTCGGGAGCACCGATTTATCAGTATTTCTCCACTTTATCAGTATTTCTCAGATAAAATGGAAAATATCATTCCATGTCTAATTAAATTTGCTCATTCCCACTCAATCACAGGAAGCAACGATTACTGAACCTACCATGTTTATTAAAGAGAAGCCCCCCTCACAAAATTATGCACCAGCGCCATCCGGTGGTGAGGAAAATGATGAAAATTTGCCACCAGAGGAGAATGAAGACAGCCCCGACGAAGAAGAAGGAGCTGTGGCAGCTCCAAATGTGGTTGTTGTGCCACCACAGCACAAAAACCCAGCAGGTATGCAAAATTTTTATTTACCTTCGGGTATATCATAAGTTTGCAAGTGAGAAACTGAAAACAATTGGATTGACCAACATAATTAGAAAGCGATCGGAGTCCGCCGGCTTATCGATCTAGCGGCATGGATCTTTCTCTCTGACTAAATAGCGACACCACTTGTCCCATCACTAATCAATTAATGACTAGCTAATTATACGACATAATTTATCCAAAATCAATAGGCTTCTGGTCCGAGATATGATAAATGCACATGCAAAATTTGGAGCAGATTCAACCTCGCTTTCGTGAGATATCGCAAGTGTCAAACAGACAGACAGACAAATACCTACCTATCAACATACTTACCGATCGAGATCGGAGAGTAGTTAAAAAATTCATGAATATGTCGAAGTTTTGTAAACAAAATTTACTATTTTTTTAACTCTGAGTTGGGGTCTAAATTTTCGCCATTCTAGAAGTCACTTTTCAAATGACTTACAGTTCGGAGACAAAGTCTGGTATGCAATTTTACTTCACAAGCTAATGTCAATATAATTGGTGCTCCCGAAGTATGTGTACCGAGATTGCACACAACCTGAACATAGTATGTGTACCAGGTTTGGGTTCAGGTTGTGCATCATCTTGGTACACATACTTCCGGAGTGCCATATAATTCAATAATACCTATTTTATTTCAGGTAGCATAGGTCAGCGTGAGGGTTTAATAAACCCATGGCCTCCTGAAAGTGATGTGATGCTAGGAGCGAACTACCAACAGCCAGCGCCATCTGTTGAGGGAAACGAGGAAAACCCCCCACCAGAGAATATTGAAGGCAGCCCTGAAGAAGAAGAAGTTGTAGCAGTTGCAGAGGTTGTTGTTCCACCAGATGAACCATGTATGTTTAATTTTTATTCAACTCCATGTATATCATAGTTTATCAAGACGCTTTTTTCCTGCTCAAGTTTGCAGGTTCGAACACAGAAATCATTTGAATTGACCAATCGAGATCGATAAGTAGTTAAAAAAGGCATGAATATACCGAAGTTTTGTAAACAAAATTTACTATTTTTTTAACTCTGAGTTGGGGTCTAAATTTTTGCCATTCTAGAAGTCACTTTTCAAATGACTCAAAGTTTGGAGACAAAGTCAAGTGCAATTTTATTCACTTCACAAGCTAATGTCAATATAGTTGGTGCTCCCGAAGTATGTGTACCAAGATTGCACACAACCTGAACATAGTATGTGTACCAGGTTAGGGTTCAGGTTGTGCATCATCTTGGTACACATACTTCCGGAGTGCCATATAATTCAATAATACCTATTTTATTTCAGGTAGCATAGGTCAGCGTGAGGGTTTAATAAACCCATGGCCTCCCGAAAGTGATGTGATGCCAGGAGCGAACTACCAACAGCCAGTGCCATCTGTTGAGGGAAACGAGGAAAACCCCCCACCAGAGAATATTGAAGGCAGCCCTGAAGAAGAAGAAGTTGTAGCAGTTGCAGAGGTTGTTGTTCCACCAGATGAACCATGTATGTTTAATTTTTATTCAACTCCATGTATATCATAGTTTATCAAGACGCTTTTTTTCTGCTCAAGTTTGCAGGTTTGAAAACAAAAATCATTTGAATTGACCAAGTTAATTGCGTCAAATCTCATTCATCTCCGCGTATGTCATAATTTAAGACGTTTTTTAGAGCGTTTAACTTTGCTCAGGGCCCTATTGAAGCAGCCACTGATATCTTATGATATTAAAGAGGCTACTATTTTTCATATAAACGGAATGCGTATGAAATGGTGAGCATGGAATTTATAACCAAGATTTTCATCATGCAATGCCAGAATCGTTAAGTTTAGTATTTTAACCACAAGAATAAAATGCAATGTGAGGCCTGTTGAGTCTAAAAAAATATTTCAATTGATTCCGAGCTGGTACTAAAATCATTTCCTACTTCTAACTCTGATCGAGAGTCATTTTAATTTTGATGTTCACTTTTAACATAACATATTCCGTTCATTATTTGGATAATTCTGCAAGTCACTGTGTGAAACTTCAAATATGAAAATTTCTATATGTATATGGAATTCCAGAGTTTCATTGTGATAATTGATATCAAAATTTAAACAAAAACTCAAAAGAAAATTGAATTGACCAAGGCATTTTACCAAGTGCCTTTTTTAAGGTGGCCAAGTTCAGCCTGAGGTTTTCATAGATCCAGTGCCCCCAGAAATGGATGTGATCCCCCCTGAATCAAACTACCAACAACCTCCCCAGCGTAAGTTCAAATTTTTTGTTTAAGCTTTTTGACAGTCTGTATACAATATAATATCTTATTTTCCTAATATTTTGATATTTGAGCAAAATTTTTAAAATCATCTTTGCATCAAAAATGAAATTATTTTAGTTTGACCTAAACTTAATTTTAAATAGTTTAAGAGTCCTAGCCAAAATTATTTTTTCCGACTTCGTGGCGCTCTGCATAACAGCGATATTAAGAAATCAATTAAATAGGGCAGTATGAAACACAACCGTTTATAATACAGAGTGTCCCCAAAGTCCCTTCACAATTTCAATTTTGTTATGAAGTCAGGTCTTAATATATCTTAACCAGGTTTGTTGCTTTTTAATCAGTAATTGTTAAAGTATTATTACTTCATTTAATACATCTGTGATGTCAAAAACAATATATGGCATCGATAAATTCCCTTTGCAATTTTAAGACTTTCGGGAGACTATATATCATCTAAGTTCTAAGAATATTCAATCATCGATCTCTTTCATTTATAGATCCAGCTCCTATTCCGTATGAAGCAAAACTTACATCCTTACAGAACAATCCTCATTTTCGCAATAACCTCACACCAACCCCACATGAATTTGCTCGAGCTGGCTTTTATGGCGAAGGAAATCAAATTACTTGTGCTGAGTGAGTTTAATTTTCTTACTTTTGTGAGACAAATAATACAAATCTCATAAATACTATTGTTACTGAATTATGAGTTGAAGCTTGAAAATTTTGAGTGCTCGAAAGCAAGTGTTTCATACATAAATTAGAAAATGAAATCTAAATTTTTAATATGAAGAAATTAACAAAAAAGTCGCATTTTCAATTTATATTCATTTATTTACTTGATATAATAAAATATTTTGAATATACCTGTGGTGTAAACACACATTTTTAACTTTTTCCTTCCTTCCTTTTGATGGGCTGGCACTTTCAGATTGTTCACATTTTTCAAATTCTGCTGGTTAAAGAATATAATTTTGTTTTGAAAAATTGTTCGCGTCAAGAACTTTTTTTTTATTTTGTTTGTCTTTAATTTATTTAAACCTTTTTTGTAGATGCGGTTCACAGCACCCGTTAGATCATCTTGTGAACAGACCTTCAAAAAACATCGTTTGGCATCTAGACAACTGTCCATTCTATAATCGAAGAAGGCCCTGTGGCTATTGCACACCGAATAGCATTGGGGAACACTCTTTAGATGAGTGTGTCAAGTGCAGTCAACTACCAGAAATAGTATGTATCAATGTCTCTTTGTCTTTTCTTTCTCTTCGATTACCATTCCAGATACATGAGTACAATTAACCACTTGTATGGTGGATAGGACTTTCATTATTAGGAAGAGCGAAGCCAATAAGACAACTTAATCATATTGCGAACCATGTCCTTTCGTTCAGTTACCAGTCCATAACAGATATGGGATTTGTTAGCCAGTTATTAGTTCAAAATTCAGGGACTTGCTGGTGGATAAAGCCTTAACCGACCAGCGGTTATGTAAACCAGAGGTGCACAACTCAAATGAGGACACATGCAAAATTTTTTAAAATAATCTTGTTGCGTGCCACGCACAATCGTTGGTATTGTAAATAAACTCCCGTAAAACAAACAATATTCAATAATAATACATAATAACGAATATCTATTTATTGAAACAATTCAATGTCCTGAAAAACTACTGATTTTGATATAAACGTGATATTTTCATGTATATCATAAATATTTTTTTTTTACAAAAATGTTCGCGTGCCACATTTGAGCATATGGCATGCCAAATTTGGCACGCGTGCCCCGTGTTGTGCTTCCCTGATATAAACTACCCTATCACGATTTGTAGTCCAGCAATCCTTTTGTAAATAATTATTTGTCACAGGATTCAAACCTGCGAAAAATTATTCCTATCACTTAGCGCGATGTGCCACCCATCGTGCCAAATAGATGGATTTGATGACCAATCAGTAAATAAATAATTGTTCGTACTACTTAGAGATATTGAGAAGTCTCCAGATTATTTAGGCATGTAATATCACATATCATCATGTTTCCCACGAAAAGCCTAAAAATTCTTTTAATTAACCCTTTGAGTACGAATCTTGATATGTAGCAAGATAATTTAGCTTCGGTAATTTGTTGGGGCAATATTAGTTATGTGGTCCCTTGCCAAAGTTGGCTTGTAGTAAAGGATGTGGGATATCAATCAGTAAATGCCCATTTTCATCGAATAAATATTTAATCCTCATTTTAGATGATGGCGTTCAGTGAGCTGGAAGAATACTTCCAACAAGATCCAGAAATGCCACAAGAAGCTGATATTCGAGCTTTTGCGGACCTACAGTGTGTCATATGCCACAACGCCATTCCCAATCGTCAGAATCAGGATGTCTGCCTGGTATGCTCTGGAGTAGTTTGTGAGGACTGTGTGGATGCATACCATGGACATTAGCAATCGCAGTGTTCCAATTATGTCTGAGATGCCAAGGATCTGATTTCTATGCTGTTTTTATAGAGCAATAGAAACTCTTTGAGAAATAGGACAAACTGAAAACTTTTCTGAGTGATTTAAGAGTCTTGCTGCACACGAACACAAATATATATATATATATATATGATACGTCTTCCTCCACCATCAATCCATGCCTCCGACAAACAAATAACTAACTAATTCCATACCCGACTAGGTATAGTAACCGGACGAGAGGCCGTGGTTCGCCATATGGATAAGCCTTTGATAAGATTTTGAATACAAACCCCTTTGTGTTTTGAGATTTTTTAGTTTCAATCGAAAATTGGAAAATAGTCAAAGCCGAAAATAATGACTATGATTTTCAGAAATTTGAAGATATGACATAATCTTATGTCCAAATTCCAATAGGAATGTTTCGCAAGTTAAACCCTTTATATACTACAATACTCCTGCCATATTTTTCTGGTAGTGTTGAAATTTTACCTTATGCATTTAGTTTAAAGGTACTTGTCCTGAAATTATTTTAGCTTTTGCATATTTTTGAAGCAAAAACAAATTTCACATCTGTGAATAAGTAGTTTTCCAGCATTTTATTCGTTCATAGCAGAAAATTAAAAGGCAGTCATTATAAATAGTTTAAATAGTTATTGCGATAGGTCTAAGCTATGTCAAAAAATTTCAGTTTTAGTTATTGGGGTTTCTAGTCAATCATACGGGGCCATTAACAAAAGTCATACGGGAGTCCTACAGGAACCTAAAATAAAAGAACAAAGGGTTGCAAGCTTTCAGCTGTCTAAATGAACTTTGCTTCTGCTTCTGCTTATATCTTCAAAGTGGTGAAAGTCTTTCTTCATTGAAATTTTAAAATAAAGTACGATAGTTTATCTACTATAATTTATTTATCGATTTTGTATATACTATTTGTGAAGTTTGCAGAACGCTTTTTAATGATGGATTTGACCCCCGTGTTTCTGGACTGAATGATTTCATATAAAAGGTTGTGTGACATTTTTGATCCCAGTTCAAATCTGCAACCCCCAGGCGAATTTGATTTTCCTCTAAATAACTATCTGGTCCCGGGAGCTCAGAACACATTCATATGTCCAAATTAGAATGTCCAAATTGAATTAAATTCAGTTTGTTTACTCTTTGGTGCCGGCAATTAACTCCAGATTTTCATTCGTCTTCTGTATAAGTAGCAATAGTTAGTCATAAATCTCTACTCTTATGCAATAAATGCAATATTTTTGTTATGCAATTACATGACTAACTTCGGTGCTCATCAAAATTGTAGTAATTTGATTTTCACGAGAGTTACCAGGACTTGTAACCTTTAGTGCAGAAAAATTAGGGTCGGCCGTCTTTAGAGCTCATGATTCATTTATTGGTCCGATTTGAAAAGTGCTTCCCAGTTATAAATAAAGGACAGGGTGTTTATTATATACATGCACTATCATAGTGCCTAATTAAATTATTGTTAATGTATAAAAAAAATGTAGATTTTGCTAATGTATTTGCTTTGTATAATGTACTTGTTTTATAATTATTATACAATAATTGTTTTATATTTATTATACAATAATGGTTTATTGTATCCCCATGACCACAGGAAATTTGCTACTATACCTAAGCATTGTGAAATTTTTGAAAGTTGTTTTGAGATTGTGTTATGGTTTACCCAAATCATAATCATGTGTAGGATATTTAAGTAGCTGTCCTTTAAAATTATTGAGAACTAATTTTAATTCATCATTCTATTCTCATGAATTGGGTATTCTGGCTGAACTAAACTAAACCTCAACAAAAAACACAACATCAGTTGAGTTATTTGATTTGCACCAAAATTTGATTTGCACCAAAACTACAAAAATGTGTCAATTTTAACCAGCTCAATAAAATCAGAGCGTGGGATTGTTTGCTAGTAAATTTGGTAAATAAAATTTATTATTTAATTTATGTTTTGTGCGTCAAGTAATTTTTGAAACATTCTTTCCATTTTTTTTTTCTGATCATTCCTGTGCTTTGTTATTGCTAAGTTTTTGTGATAAAACCAGTAGAGTTGTAATGTAGTAACGTAGGGGAGTTTTGAAACTATGTATGTTGTAAATATATAAAAACAGGTGGTGAAATTCAGGTGTCCTATCTATCCCCCATCTTTTCACAATTTTTCAAGTACTTATATTTACTTTGACTTCGAAATTGCACACAATGACACAATGAAAAAAAGTGACTTGAGTAAATATATTGCGTACGACAATCATTAGGGTGTTTTGGTGTATTTTTCCACTCCGGTACAGGATTTTTCATCATTTGAATTTTGTCTAAATCAGTAGGAGTGACTGATACATAATATTGTCTTTGCAAAACATGGTGTAAGGATTTTATATTTGGAATTAAGACTAAAATATGGGTGTTACTATCAGTGGATGCTTGTCTGTCTAAAGACTTGCTTAGCAATAAGGTGTAAAACACCAAAACACCTCAAAAAAACAATTGTGCAATAACATCTGGATTGAATTTGCCAGTAGATGTTTGTATATATTGGATACGCCAGTGACTCAACTCAAGTTAAATTCGAGAAATCATTCATCAAAGATTTTAAAGTGACTTGAGTAATTAATATAAAATGACTGCCAGTGAGAATTAGCCCGCTCAGCTTCAACTCAACTTTCGACTCAAACTACACTCATGACTCTGATCACCCATGTCTTAACTTGACCTACGACCTAAGGTTTTAGTGACCTCTATCCCAATCTATTACCCAACTACTCAACACTACCTGTTATCTGGAATATTAAACTATTTCAACATGCGTATACCCCTGCCTGTGAAACCGTTAGTATCTTTTTTCTCTTGGCATAATATTTTAACTTCTGCCATTTAACAGTATTCATTTCAGATTGCATTTTCTTTTAGTTATTTTTCAATAGTTAATAACACCATAACATATATTCAGTAATAACTTAAGTTGAATAAGTTAATAATAGTAGCCCATATTGTCTTTAAATTTTTTAAAATTGCAAAGGGATCCATATATTGTTTTAGACCTTACAGATGTATTAAATGAAGTGAAAATACAATTACGGATCAAAAAACAACAAACCTGGTTGAGATATATTGAGAATTAATTTCATACCAAAATTAAAATTGTAAAGGGATTTATGGACACCGTATAACTAATAATGATAGTGGTAAGAAACTTTGATGAAATTAATTTATAATGCCATCAACATATATGGTACAATTTTTGTGTCCACAACACCATGGAATAAATTAAATCATAGCTAATAATACGTTCCATTAATCGTTAATTTAGTCTTTTTGCATTGATTAAGTAACTCCCAACTCTTTCATAAATGTAGGGAAATCATATTTTTATGGACATTTTAACCTTTTCTGGTAGAATTTTTTTTTTCCAGGATTTGATTTTCATGAAATCATAATTAATTACAACTGTTCTGGTTTTATCAACTGTTACATTCTTCTCTGCATTAAACATTTAATCTGTGTTGTTTTGTGTTTTTTTTTTGTCAAAAATACCAGCTGGAATAATTCCTTGTTCGGCGGATTTCCCCAGTCAAACTTTTCCAGGTTGTTTGTTTTTCAAAATTAATCTACCTATCCAAAATTTGTCATGAATTGCATCTGAGCATCCTGTACTTATCTATATTTGTTAACTGTGGGTTCATCTATTTGTGTTATATTCCATGGCTTTGACTTACATGCACTATACTCATAGATCAAAGAGTTCAATGTTTTGGTTGCTTATGTTTATCTGCAAATAGGTTGAGTCGAGAACGTCTCTATATTTGTTAACTGTGGGTTCATTTACTTTTGTTATATATTGTATCTGTTTGATATTGTGTCAGTTATTGTTGGCACTGTCATTTTATGACTTTGACGTCAAGACCTTATGGCCAATGTAGGGTTTAAATGCACCCCCAAGCTGGTCCCAACTGGCATAGAAAGTTTACACAATTGTCTAATTGTGCTAATATCACAGGTTTGAGATTCCTAGGTCAGTTCTTGACCTCATCCAGGGTGTAGGGAATTGGATCGGCTATGAGAACCAGGATTCAATTCTTGGTACATTTCCATCTGAGGGGCTGCTTTTCCATGTTCTTATGTGGAGGAGTGATAGTGTGACATATTTTTTGTATCTTGTTTCATTTTTTCGTTTTTAATCATTGTGTATGAAATGTATTTTATTGTGAGAATGTTCAATTATAAAATTATAAAATATTCGTGTGCGCAATGGTCGACTGGTTAAATCAACCATGTTGGCTTTGCAAGTTGTAAATCTTGGTATCAAATACCATGACCACCAACTCACCCAGGGTGTAATAAAGTGGGTAAACAAAGTAGAATTGGGAAAATTCTGAACTACTCCCGTTGGTGTATTATTAGTGGGGGGAGATGGAAAATTTTTCTTGTAAATTATGTTGCATCTTCAATACCAGTTAATTCGTAGATCATGTTGAAAATACAATATTAGCTTTATTCATCTATGTGATTTTCTTCAAGTTGTATTGAATAAATGTCTCGGTACTCTCGTAGTATGTGTACCAGGTAAGGGTTTGTCCATAATTTTATTCCCATTTTCTTTATTTTAGTTTTATTCTTAATTTGGGACTGTCTGTCTTAGCCAAGTGAATAATTAGTTAGCCAACCCAAGTGAACTGCCCCTTTACACAACTTGATAAATATATCCATATTGGTACACATACTTCTGGAGCGCCAAGACTTGCATTCTGTGCTGAATTGGTTGATAGCAACTTCACAGAATAATTCCAATATTGAATTGAAATTGTGAATGATTTTTATTATTTTTTATGTTATTTTAATGCAAAGAGTTGTTTTTATTATGAAAGGGCTTTGTTGCACTAGTTTGTGCGGGGCATGTAATCAGGCTTCATATATATATTTTGCTCTGCTAGGCCATGTTGTTGAACAAATTTTTCTTGTCGATTATGTTGCATATTTGGGTTTACTTGTGAAAAAATAGATTATGTTGGGAATTCAATATTGGTTTATATATCTATTTAATTTTCTTCAAGCTGAATAAAATAGGAGTCTATGCACTCTGTGCTAAATTAGTTGACATCTTGGCTCAACAAAATAATTCCAATATTGAATTCAAATTGTGAATTATTCCCTAAATTTTTTTTTTGCTCAAGTTCAAGATGTAGAATTGTGCTTACTTCGAAAGGGTTTCGAATTTATATGTTGTCACTCTATGGCAAGTGCTGCTTTTGCATTGTTGATATCAAAACAATTGTAAAAATTTCAACGAAACTTCAGGAATTCCCCAATGAATAAATAATTCCAATATTGAATTTAAATTGTGAATTTTTATTTGTTTTTGTGTAATTTGTTTTGTTCTTTGTAATTATGTAATTCTGATGCAAAGAGTTGTTTTTACTTTGAAAGAGCTCCGAATTCATACGAAGCCATTTTATGAAGAGGCTTCTTTTGAATATCGTAATATCGAAAGTATTAGAAATTTCATGCGACTTCCAGAACTTTCCCGAAAATTAATAATCCCATTTTGAATCAGAATTTTGAATTTTTCAAACCGTTTTTGCGTAATTTCAAACAAATAGTTGTTCCTATTTCGAAAGCGCATTGAATTTATGCATTGCTGTATTATAGAAAATGCTGTTTTTGATAATATTATACAATTAGTAATATCCAAAATTTTAAAAATTCAATGCAACTTTAAGGACTCAAAGCTTAGAATGGAATTTTTTGTATACTTCAATTCATTCAAAAACTGTATTTGAACTGTATTTTTATGCTAAATCTAATGAAACACTGTTTTAATATTTTGGTCTAGGTTGTAGTTAGAATTAGTAAATAAAGTCATTTCTGAAAAAACAATAATGGCATGGCAAGGTGAAAAGACTCCTGTAAATCCTAAGAAAGAAAAAGAAAAGAAGAGATCAGGGAAAGTACAAAGCGAAGTTGTTGTCCATGAATCTCTTTCCTCTGGTATCGAAGGTTGTGAAATTGATCTCAATGAAGGAGACACTGTTGCTGGATATATTGGGGCAGCGGATTCTTCACTCTTTTCAAGTCAAAAATATAACAGATTCAAGGATTGGCAGGATAAACATTTTCCGCTTGGTGCGAGGAAATTTTTTGGTGGTGAAACATCTCAAAATCAAGTTGACGAACAAAGCAATGTTTTAGGTCTGTTTTATTAGACCAGATTGTTATTTTTTGCTTGTCCTTTCATATTTGTGTGATTTTGGAGTGTGAAAACGCATTTATAGAACATCAATCTTCAAACAAAAAGTATCTGTTTGGAAAAAGAAAAAGGCAGTCTATTATTGTAAACAACATTCCCTCTAAGAGCTTGCTTAGTTGCGCGGAATAGAAGGCCATATGAGCTCCAAAAAAAAGGTCTGCGCAAAAAATTAGAGCTTGTATTTAGCTTGTCTTGTTGTCAATACAGTGTTATGCAGTGTGCGGCAGAACGAAACTACTGCGCGGGATTCTCGGCCAGCTTAGAGGGAACGTTGATTGTAAATATCATGGATAAACATTGAATCTTAAATGTGTGATTAAAAAATTTATTTTTCTTAAATTATCTTGTGCTGTTTCCTATTATAAGTAAATAAGTTAAAAGTTAGTAAAAGCTGTGATAATTGGGGAAAAGTCACTGTTTGTCTCACAGGCAAAATGCGGCCCACAAGAAAAAATTGTGCGACACGCGGAGGCGTGCCAATTGCGTGCAAAGTGAACAATGCATGTCATAAGAACAATAACTAATTTTTGTGCCTGCAACTACTAGAATCCTATGTTAACTAAAAAAGCGGCCAGCGGTTTCAACTAATTATTTGTATCTGGCCCCCCTGTATTGTAAACTCCTGCTGTAGGTAATTTACCTACAGCAGTTAACCATAGCAAATTTAAGTATTATAAATTCTGTTCGTTTTTCTTTTTGCTTTAAGGTGTGATGACCTTTGATCATCCAACAAGTTTTGGGGGAAACTGTTCGGATAAAAGAATTAGACCTGATGCTTCAGATTATTTTGGCGGTAAATGGTTTATTATTTGTGCATATCTTCTTATACAATGTGTCCATAAATTCCCTTTACAATTTCAATTTTGTTATGAAGTCAGTTTTCAATATATCTTAACCAGGTTCGGTTCGTTGCTTTTTAGTCCGTAATTGTTTAAGTATTTTTACTTCATTTAATACATAAGTGAGGACCAATATATGGTATCGATAAATTCCCTTTGCAATTTCAAAAGATTTCAAGACCTTATGAACACCCTATATTATATTGAAATATTGAAGCATTTATTTTATAGATCTGACTGTTTTTCCGTATCAAGCAGGACTTGCATTCTTGCAGAACAACTCTCTTTTTCGAAATAACCTAACACCGACACCAAAAGACTTTGCTCGAGCTGGCTTTTGTTGTGAAGGAAATCAAATTACTTGTACTGGGTAAGTTTGATCTTCTTACTTTAGTGCAGTGGTTCTCAACCTGTGGTTCGCGTACCACTAGTGGTACGCGGAAGATGATCAAGTGCTACGCGAGCAGCTTTGGATTATTGCAACAATTAACTTTTGAGTTGGTCAAAATATGCCGACAACGCTTTATCTTCTATACTGTATGTATTCGCTGAACGACCTTTATGAATTTTTCTTCGGGCATCAATTTCCAGTACATATTTTTCTGTCCAATTCCCATCCCACCCCATCGCAATTATGCCTGTCCCGTTTCATGGGATTCCCATTGAAATACAATTCAATAAAAATTGTTAAATTTAGGTTTAGCGTCAACTAAATAGGACTAATGTACAAAGAGACATGCAAAACAACCAAATCTACTGACTTTGTTAACTTTATATTCATACCTATTATAGGATAGGATAGGATTTACATATTTATCCCGGGGGAGAGGAAAGCCGATAAGACGGCTTATCCATATGGCGAACCACGGCCTCTCGTCCGGTTACCATTCCAAGTCGGGTATGGGATTAGTTATATAGTTTGTTTTCGGAAGCATGAACTTGGTGGTGGAGGAAGCCGTAACCAACCAGCGGTTACGTGAACCACCCAACGACGGCGAGGAGTCCAGCAATCCTCTCGCACATAACCATCCCTGCATGGGATTCGAACCTGCGAACCCACGCAGAGTAATTAGAGGTGCGGTGGCGAGCGTATTCCTAACGCTTAGCCCGTTATTATACATGTTTCCATCAGCCCCTTCACGAAGTACATTGTTAATGCTAAATATATTTTGCTTTTTGCACCTACCAAGAGAGCTGTGCTCAAATATATGGACACGAAGTCCATAATGAAATGTTTTACCATCATTTCCATTAAAATCATACGGTTTTCGTGTCCCATGGGAAATACAAATGTGTGCTGTCTCATTCCATGGGACGTTTCCCATGGAAAAGCCTGTCAATTTCCTTGTTTATTTTCGTAACCAGCAACAATCAGTAAACATTACCTCGTTTTTGTAGTTTTGCGTGATATTTGTCAGTTTTCAGTTGTGTTTCAAAAAAATAGTTGTGAATTAAACATCTTAATTGTCATTATGTCTTCACAGGAGCAATAATTTAGTTGCTGTAATCAAAAATGAGTCTCGCAAATGCTGCAATAAACTAGACTAAACTAAGCTATCGGTGCATGTAAGCGCACGTGGTTGAATAATTTTAATAAAAATGAGAGTTCAAACACGTTAAACAGCTTATAAGCGCCAAAACATCAAAGCACTCTCAAAATAAGTATAAATTTTTTTTACAATAGTAAAGTATAGGACGAATTTTCCTGGGGTCAAGGGTCGGAGAAACGTTCTGTGGACCAGTCCAGTCTTTAGAGATCTCTCTCGCCTGCTATTGTCCCAGAACGAATCGAAATGACATGTTTTCGTCCATCTTGCGAATTAGGTCACTAAGGATGTAGTGCCACATAATAAAATACTCCTATAGCGCGTGTCTTGAGCCAATGTTCAAAAAGTGGCTTTTTCTTTGGTACGCGGCCAGAGTAAAAAACAGTAAAGGGGTACGCGGTCAGTATAAGGTTGAGAACCACTGCTTTAGTGAGACAAATAATACATATCACATAAATAAGGAGTTTTCCAATTTGATTATTGTTACTGATTTCTCAGTTGGGGATGAAATTTTGAGCGCTCGGAAGCCAGTGTTTCAGACTTAAATTAGAAATTGAAAGATAAAATTTTTAATATGAATGAATTATTATCTAAAAAAGAAAAAAGTCAAAATTTTTATCTTATATTTATTTATTTACTTGATATAATAAAATATTTTGGGTATAACTGGGGCATATGCACACTTTTTGACTTTTTCCTTCCTTCCTTTCAATGAACTGGCACTCTCAGACTAATTTAAGTTCAAATTCTGCTGGTGAACAGAATATAATTTTGTCATATAAAATTGTTCGTCTTTTTGTTTTTATTTTATTTTGTTTGTCTTTAATTTATTTAAACCTTGTTTGTAGATGCGGAACACAGCACTTGTTAAATCATCTAGTGGGCAGACCTTCAAGAAGCACCGTTTGGCATCGGGACAACTGTCCATTTAGTAATAGAAGAAGACCGACACAAGATGACTTCGCTCGAGTTGGTTTCCATGGTGAGGGAAATCAAAGTACTTGTTCTAGGTAAGTTTTATCTACTTACTTTAGGGAGACAAATAACTGGATAAATTACAAATCTCATAAATAATGAGTTTCGCAAATTTTATTATTGTTACTGAATTCTGAGTTGTGGATGAAATAGTGATCACTTGAAAAGTTTCATAAATAATGATAAATTTTTAATATAAAGAAATAAATGCCTGAAAAAAAGAATTTGGTATTTTTTCCTGTTATATTTATTTATTTACTAGGCATAATAGGAAAATTTTGGGCGCTGTGTGTGTACCAATATGGAGATAACTTATTTTGTTTGCCTAGTCCACATCAAGTTGTTTATAGAGACTGAAACCTATGCGCAGAGGGTATATTCACTTAGAAAACACAGATGGCACCGAACTTCTAATAGAACTAAAATATGGGAAATTGAACCAAAATTATGGCCTAACCCTAACCCGGTACACACAATGCAAGATAATCAAATTTTGAGTATAACTGCGCCATGAATAAACATTTCAACTTTTTCCTGCTTTTAGGAGGCTGGCACTTTCAGACTTGTTTACATTTTATAATATTGTGTGTAAAAAGAATATAATTTGGTCATATAAAACTGTCAGTCTGAGCAACTTTTATTTTTGTTGAATTTGTTTAAACCTTTTTGTAGATGCAGTTCACAATACTTGTTAGATCATTTTGTGGACAGACATCAGCAATCACCAGAACGGAATGATCTCGATGTGAGCGGGAAAGTTATTGAAATAGATGCAAAAACTGGGAAAAATGTAACGATTACTGATGAAGGCAGGCAGGAGTGCCCAAGTAGGTTTAAAATTCATACTTTTGATCATTATATTTTTTGTTCAAATAATTTTGCTAAGAGCAAGGTCACAGACCTAAAAGATTTAGATATCTATTTTCACTGTGCAAGAATCAATGTAAAGCAATAAACGCACACAATAAATAAGAAAACTAACGAAAAACGGGGAAAAAAGCAATTGATTGCTGATAGTAGGGTTTTGAACGATTACTTGTATGCTTCCCAATTCATTGTTTATGAATGAAACTATACCAGAGTGAGCTATTTATATACCAGTATTTCATAATTGTATTTGTTTTTTATTAAATTTTGCTATCGTGTCTGCTATGAGTAAGAGTTTTGAAAAATTAAGAATTGACTCAATGATTATTTTATATGAAATTATTTTCAGATTTTGAAAATGGTATTGGATGGATTCGACCAGTTAACCGTGGGGGTGGCAATTCAGTTACCAAAATACTTGACAATGAGAAGAAGGTTCTGAGTGTTCCTGAAATATCCAGGAATCCTGGTAAGACTTTTGAAATTCTTTGATTTGTTCATTATAGGTCATTATGAATAAAAAAGGGTCCTGTAGTTTAAATAGGTTGAGAATAATTTAACCTCCCTGTATCTGTATTTTCATATCATACCTGTGTTGTGTTATCACTTCAAACCATTTTGCATTTAGAGGAAATTCAGAAACCAAAATCTGTGAGAAAAAAAAATGACAGATATCCAGATTGTTTGAAAAATGAACCTGTATTGAGCAGAAATGAGCAATCAACGAAGAATTCTCTTCATTTTAGTGATGATTATCTGGAAAGCTTGGGATCGAAGTTAGTGCCTTTCCTCTTCTCTGTGGTATTTGTTGATAGAGAGTTTGAAATCAATTTCATCACATCTTGTCCCTAATTCTCGGTAGTCTAGAGGGTCTGGAAGTTAAGATCATTAGAGTTTGTCCTTGACTTGGGGTATTTGTTGCCAGAAGGATTGATTTGCATTGTCCCTGAATCAAATGCATTTGAGGGACATGTTGCTAGATGTCCAGAATTAGGGTCAATTACCGTGAGGTATACTAAGGGTGCAGATGAGTGCTGTTTAATTTAGGAACATTCAGCTTACGGCTTGTATTTTTCATGAAAATTTTATTACAAATTTGTGAGTTTCAATGGAAATTATTAGAATTTTATTACATTACTATTATTATTACTTCCCAGTTGATGAGTAGCACCCCATGATATTAGAGAAAAAACAGGTTTGGTTACCATGGTAACAAGTTTTGGCTGCAACTTTTCTCGGCTCAAACATTTTTCCATATCTCAAGCATTCTTGCTTTATTCACTTTTGCCTCATGCCCAAATAATAACTAATTTCATCCTAATAAAGCTGTTTTTATCAGGAATATTCTCAGTGCAAAGCAATGTGATGATGGTGAAATTGCACATAAAGAAGCAGATGCCCTCCCCCCATCTTTTAGGAAAAAGTATATGGACCCAAAACATGAACCACCTGAAATACGGCCTCAACAAAATAGACGAAAAAATAATGTTGTTGATGGTACAAGCAGGTAGACTATTGAAATTTAAAAAATCATAATTTTCATTTCTATATATTTTGTTATCTTCAAATTTTTTTATATTCTCTTAGTGTTTCGTAATCTTGTCGATTCCACTACCAGTGGAATGTTGAAGCCTATAACATTGAGGATAGTGTTCCAAACGCTCAGCACAATAACTGAGATACAGAGTGAAAATTGGAGAATATAGTGCTGTGTTATGAGTGCCAGACTTTCTATTTTATATTCATGGTATTTATTGTTTTTTATAGACATAAAGAATTACGAAATGACAAAGATGAAGAAGAAATCCCAATCCAAAAAGAAACACCTGACGCTGATGTCAATATTGGAAATGAAGCATTGGAAAATGGAATTGATGAAAATGGACAAATGAATTTTGGTAATTTATTATTTTTATATTTCGTATATTATCACTACATGGTTATGTGATGATTTTAGTTTGAAAACCGCTGATTTAGACTTATATTTCAAAATATAAATTTGTGTTAATTAAAACAAATTTCAATTACCGGTATGCACTGAATTCTTAAGTTTTCATAACTTTAATCTGAGCTTTTATCAATGAATTAGCAATATTTGTTTTATAAATTCACAAATTTTTCAACTTTGGTATTACTCTGACCTATATTTTTTTTAGACTTCGACAAACAACAGACTAAAGAACCTGGCAATGAAAGCTTCTCATCAAATTGCCCAAATGAAAATGATCAGATTGGCAATGTAATCAAGGATACAATACCCGAAGCTATCGGTAAGAATACACCCATTGCCCAACCTTGCACAACTGTCTATATATGGGACCATATTATACATATTTAATCCAATGTTTTTTGTTATATATTTGTCAAAAAGGGTGCATGCCGCACATTTGTGTTTTAGGCCAGTACGGTCTTGTGCATGCATCCCGTCTTAAATAATAATAATCGTTCATTTTTTTTTTATCACTATCACGAGACGAATAAACATACATACATACATACATGGTTAATTTTATGGTGAACACTTGTTTAAAATGCTTCGAATTAGATATTAATGTCTTATTGAACTTCTGAGCATTTGCAAAACACAATCCTATTTTTGTTAGACATCCTCCAAGACCAGACTAGGGAAACTGACCATGTAGACATCTCATCAAGTGGATTAAACAAAAATGATCATATGGGAAATGTAACCAAGGATATTATACCCGAAGAAGCTGGTAAGAATACATGGGAAATTTTTATATTTTGAGTTTGCAATGAAATATCCATAATATAAAAGAATTTGTGAAAAGATTTGTGAATAATTTCTTTCAAATTGATTTTTGGAAATAAAATTCTTCAGTTATTTGTAAACAAGTACCAGTATATGGAATGCTCTTGAATCAAAAATTAATGTTTATGTAGGATAGGATTCACATATTTATCACAGGGGAGAGGAAATACGATAGTATGGCTTGAACATATGGCGAACCATGTAGGGCAATCACTGGTGCTGTGGCAATTTTATTCCTGACGCTTAGCATGATGTGTCACACTGCTGAGCCAAATAAATAATAATATGTAAATACTTTCGAAGCTTTCTGAACTTTGAAGATTTTGAATAACTCAATTCCATTATTTCTTAGACATCACCCAACCCCAGACTAAGGAAACTAGAAATGAAGAAATCTCACCAAGTAAACCGGAACATATACCTGAGTTATTTGCAACTAATGACCTTATTGACGATAGAGCAAAGGACACTGTATTAGGAGCCACCGGTAACTGAATATGATGAGTTAAAGAAATCTGAGATCGCCATTGTTTAATTCTGGTTTAGGATCGGAAAGGCTATAAGACGGCTTTATCATATGGAAACCACAGCCTCTGGTCAGGGTACCAGTTCTTGTTCAGACAACAACGGTTACGTGTACCGGTCCAGCAATCCTCTCGCACAATAATATCCCTTCATGAGATTCTAACCTGCGAAGTGCAGAGTAATTTGAGGTGCGATGGCGCACCACACTGCCGAGCTGGTTTTAATGTAGTTCCCAACTAACTGGTGCAACAGTATTTGTGTCTGCGAAAGTCTTGCATGTTCACTACACTGTACTTCTTTAAAGATCTGCAAAATTGTATTTTTTTTAACATTGCCTTGCGGAAATAAATATCTTTTCACTTTCTTAGCCAAGGTATAATTAATTATATAGGTTACTCCCAACCAGAAACTTCCAAATATACCTATGTCAGGCTTATTGGCTTGCTATATTCAATACTTTCGGTACTTCTTCCATATAAAACTACTTTTTCTAAAAGCAGAAGACGTTTCAAAGCCTGCTGATGAATTTTGTGAAGTAAGCCAAATTGTGGATTTTGTTGATGGCATACAGAATTTACCTGGAGAGCTTGATAATAATAATATTTAGTATACATCTTTCTGGTGTTTTTCAATTCAAATAAAAACTCCTTACAGCTTCTTACTTCTTGAACTTGAACATTAAGTCGTGTCTCCTTTTACGAATTTGTCAAGTTTCACCCCCACCTAATAAGTAACTAGCTAACAATAAGCTACAAATAACAGATAATAACGTGAAAATACCGTATGTTTTATTAAAAAAAAAAACACTGAAAGTATGAGCCGCACTCACCGTTTAAGAACTACTGCTTAACAGACATTTACTGATACTAATGGAGCAAATATTTTTAGAAATACCAATATCTTTATGGTTCGTCAATGCTTATCCAATTTATCAAGTCTTGCGTTATGTGAAGGCAACGGTGCACAACCTGCGGCTGTCGTGAAAAAATAATGCGGCCGTCCACATACAAAATCTTATAAAAAAAAATATAGAATGAATTCATTAAAATGTTTGACATTTTATTTTACTTCTGGGGATAAGAAAATGTGGGCGACCGCCCCTCCCCCTCCCTGACTTTCGATTTTTTTTTTCAAAATTGTGCAACCATCATGCAACTTGCTGAAATATATCACTGCACCTCGCATTGGTCCCTAACCCCTGGCGGCCTTATTGAATGCAAATAAATTCAATGTGGCCGCCAATAGCAAAAAGGACCCCTCTGTGCACCCCTCTGTGTGAAAGGATCAAAATAACCTATGATAATGGGCCAAACGTTTGAGATTCAACCATATGGCCATGAAAAAATTCTAACGTTAAAACTTCTTAATTTGAAAACAGATGACCCTCCAGAGTCAACTGATGAATTCTGTGAAGAAAAGCTGATTGTTAATTTACCTTCAGTTGTAGATGTTGTTGATGGCATGGGAAATACACCTGACAAATTTCCAGGTTCATGAATATTATTATTTGAGAATGTTTTAGTAATTAGTGAAGGGAAAAGCTTTGCATGTGCATTCATCATATCTGGGACCAGAAGCCTATTGATTTTGGATGAATTATGTCCTATAATTAGCGAACTATTAATTAATTAGTGATGGGACACATGGTGTCACTATGGAGTAAGTGCGCTGTTTTGGAGATCCCCTAACTTTTTATTTTTTATTTTTTTATTATTTATTCTTTTTTTTTATTTACTTTTTTTTCTATTTTTTTTATTTTTTGCCTTCGATCGATAAGTCTTCGATCTCTGACCGATATTTTTGTTTATACCTTGGTGAGTTTTTTCCTAAGAATAGTCAACAGGAGTCACAGAATAACCTCATCTTAATAAAATAGTTCAAAACAATGATTCTTGCATTTCGAACACTAAGTAATAAATTATATAAATCGTACTTATAACACTCAGCTTTATTTTGTCAGATTGATTCATTTATATTTTTTCATACACAGATCCTATCCCTGACAATGAAATAAATATTATCTTTAACAATGATGAATTGTCTCTTCAAGAACGCATGGTCGATCAACTTCAATCTCTGGAAATTGAAACTCCAGGTTGTGAGATTTCACTTGCCTGTAATAAAATATAGATTTATTTATTACTCCATTAGTAATGTTATATTTATGACCATTTTTTATTTTTATGCATTAAGGTTGTTGGGGGCCACAAATGATTTGTTCACAGGCCACATTTGGCCCATGCGTCATAGTTTGCCAACCACTGCTGTATAGCTTTGTTTTTAGCTTGTCTCTGTATTACTATATTTCCCCACATATAAGCTTAGTTTAAAACTCGAAAGAAAAAATGCTAAACTAGGTGGGCCCTCTAATACACTCATAACTCTGATTGCAGCATTTCCCTTCTTCCCCATTTGCTGTGAAAGGGTGTGTATGGCATGTTACGGTTTGCGTGGTCGACTTATGAGTGAATTTTTATAAATTCACCATTTTGGATTCATTTTTAGCTTATATGTGAGAATAGGTACAAAAGATTTTGTGTCCTTGGTCTTGATTCAATTCTTTTTGGAACAGTTACTACTTGATTATTGTTTCATTTACAGCTCCTGGAAAGAAGAGCAAAGAAAATTGTGATGAAGAAGGTGAAGAAATCGGTGCTTGTAATGCAACAATGGGTAATAGTGGGGATGGTTATGGTGGGGAGAACCAAGATAGCTGTGATGATGACTATACTGATACAGAAGATGTGGACGGGATTACAAGGTAAAATTTTTTACTAGATTATTAAATTCATGGTCACCTATGTCTTGTGCCATGGGTGGCGCTTGGATTGAGGGGGAGAGGGGGGGGGGCAAAAAGTTTTAATTGTAAAATGTTTCAATGAAATAAATTCAAATTGGATATATTCGAAACCCCAATTTTTATTCGAATAATAGCATATAGGTATCTCATTTTAACAGAAGCTGTCTATAAAAATTGTCAACCAAACGATCAATGGGGACTTTTTCAAACTTTTCTTGGGTGACATTTTAAGTTGATACGCCACTGAGTTGTGGTGATGTGGTGGGCATGGTTTTTTAATGCTATATTTCTAACCTTTAATGCCAAAACGGTTAGGTCTAACACTTTGACCCAGGGTTGACCAAACTACAGTTCTCAGGAAAAATCCGGCCTGTTGGGTAACTCAATCTCGCCCACCTGATGCTGCCACAACCAAACTAAAACCAAATTTTGATGATTTAGCTAAAAAATAGCCAGAGGAACCCCAAAACCCTGCCCATCCCCGAGTTAGACTATGATCTGTCAAAAGCTTACTTGTGCGCTTATTTTGCGCTCGAAGCTCATTTTGTGTGAAGTGAATATGCCTACCTTATGGTACTCCCGAAGGATGTGAACCAAGATGGCGAACACCGGAACATAGTATGTGTCATTTCTCATCACATATCTCATTTTAGTTCTATTAAGAGTTCAGGTTCGAGCGAAGTGACTACTGTAGTATATGTACCTGAAATTATGGCCTAACCCTAACCTGGTATACATACTTCGTTCCGGTGTCTGCCATCTTGGTTCACGTCCTACGGGAGTACCCATCTTATTTTTTTCTAATTTGAAGAGCCCACCCTGTATTGACTATGCACTTATTACTGTTAAATATATTGCTTTTTAGCTTGAAGAGACTCTTCAAAAAGTCTAAAGATTTCAGTAGTGATGATGAGACTGTGGAAACAGAGGCGGAATTCATAAAGCAGAAAGCTGATGGGAAGTTGTTCACTCCTCCAACTTCAGATGTCGTGGTACCAAATTATCAAGGTATCTATGGTTAGTATTGTTTCATATTGTGCGCCGTGTTGAGCATTATTGAAATATTATTTGATATTTTACATATTGTATTTATCATAAATTTTGTGCTGCAATTTCGTGGGCTGCATTCTATTTATCTACCGTGTTCAGCGAACAGGCAGAGATGAAGAAGATGAATTAACCTTTTGCCTCTATTCCTTAAGCCCACCTGTTTACTAACTTTAAAGGACATATGTTACACATTAACGATCACAATATTCAGATTTATTGAAGAGCAGCTTTTTTTTTTGTTTGCTGCAAGTATTTTCCCCTGAAGAATTGGCGTCGCACAAACAAAAGTTTGGAAATCGCTGCCATAGTTGATGTATAATTTTACCTAATCTGAATAGCCATCAAGCGTGACTTGGCAGCATTGGAAGCATTTTATAAAGATGAGGTTATTCCGATTTGTTACTCCTATTGCCTATTCTTAGCCAAAACACCGCCCAATGTATGAATATGAAAAGCCTTATAGCTGTTGATATTCCTTATTTTATAAATGTTTTAAATAGAATATTTCGTTTTAGATTCTAGAACCACCTACAATCAAAGCCTGGAATCTTTTCTACATAATCGTAATGTTCGGGAAAATCCAAGAATACCAATCGATGATCTTGCTAGGAATAGATACATACTAACTGGAGATAATGCAACTTGCATGGGGTATGTAATATGTGCTGTATATATTGAACATTATTCATATTTATCTCAAGGGAGAGAAAGCTGACAGAACAGTTAAATAGGGGTTGATCCGTGTGCAGAAACTTCAAAAATTTTTTGCAAATAATCTAAAAAAAAATAAACAATATTCATGAAGTGTACCAAACGTACGTGCCCTTGAGAGATAATTTCACCCTATATCCAAGAGGCGGCCGAGGTTTTTGGACCAGGGGCCAAAAATTTTGCCCACCTCGACTGGCGGGCCATGTAAGTGGGACGTAAAAGTTACATTTTATGAACAATATTTACAGGTTACAAAAGCAAGAGTGGAAAACAATTTGCCTTGTGCAAAAACTAAGTTTAATCACAGTCTCGACGAATTCCTTGAACTATTTCATAGCTAAAACATCAAAATTTGTTTCAGCTTGGTTGTGGCAACATCAGGTGGGCCAGATTGAATTACCCAACGGGTGGGATTTGGCCGTGCCGTACTTTGCCCATGTCAGCTCTATCTGGATATCCAGATGCAAGCGGGCAAAGCTTGATAATATGGGAAGTAATACGCTTGATAGTGAAATGGAGTTCATTTAGTTTATTCATATAAAAATTGTGATCACTCTTTTCTGGCCACTAGTTATGACGATAACAATGCCTAACCAGTTCAGCAATATGTTAGTGAAAAAATCACTGTCACATCAAATTTTGATAAAAAACGTTTCAGAAGCTTTCCTCTCCCCAGTGATAAATATGAAAATCCGGTATTCCTGTAGTATGTGTACCAGGTTAGGATTAGAACATGATTTTATTCCAATTTTTCTTATTTTAGTTCTGTTACAAGTTTGAGGACTGTCTGTGTTAGTCCAGTGAATATACCCTTGGCCATAGGTTTTAGTCGCTAAATTAGGCGAACAAAATTTGTTACTGCCTTATTGGTAACATACTTCTGGAGCGCCGAAAATATTTTATGACTCGTTCATCTTATAGGCTTTTTCCTTCATCTCAGACACAAAAAATGTTTTTTGTTTTTGTGCAGATGCAACACTCGTCATAGCATCCGTGATATAGAAGGCAGACCTTCGAGAAACATTGTTTGGCATCAAGACAATTGTCCCTTCGCGAATAGAAGAAGACCCTGTGCCGACTGCTCCTCAACTTTTGTTGAGGATGATGGTCTTGAGTATTGTACTCAATGTCGGCAACCGATTCGAAGGGTTTGTCATTATTTTCTGTGCATTTTTTTCAAGCTTCGTATATTTATGGGCGTTCCGAAGTATGTGAACAAGGATGGCGGACACTAGAATGTAGTATGTGTACCAAGTCAGAGTTAGGCCATAATTTTATTCCAATTTTCCTCATTTTAGTTCTATTACGAGTTCGGAAACTAGCCATGTGATTCCTGCAGTATTTGTACCTGAAATTATGGCCTAACCCTAATCTGGTACACATACTTCGTTCTGGTGTTCACCATCTTGGTTCACATACTTCGGGGGTACCTATTTTGTGGATTATTCAAAACGCGCCCTGAATAGGTCTCTAGACAAGCTGCAACTTCCACTCATATGCAAAGAGCTCAATCATTAATCTCTCCACTCTGCTGAAAGCTTTGCTTGTGGCTCCAGAGAACAACTTATTACTCTTAGTTGCAGGAAAGGACACAGTTTTAAAAACCCTGAATCTTATTACGGTGTTTAGATTCGTGCAACATCTGACTTATTGGCTCATCTTCCCCAGAATCTGGAACCTCCTGATCCAAGTGGGAGAACCGTCAATTCATGTGTCATTTGTCACAGAGATATTCAGTATCGTCATAACCAAGATGTCTGCGTGGTTTGTGGAGGCAGGATTTGTCGCAGATGTGTAAGAAGAGAGGAGCGTCATTTTCATTGACTTTTGTAGCTACGAATACAGACTTTTCTTTTGATTTTTTTTGTCTGTGTAGATTCAATTCGTCAGTCTGCTTTCGTTGTTTGAAGTAATTATTTGATTGGGCTTTTCTGTACAGTTTTAATGTTGTTTTGATGTTTGGTGCTACGGAAAAACTTTAATTAACTCTATTGAATGATTGATCAATATGATGATCAATCTATGGACACTTTAAAAACATGATTTTGTCGGTTTGTCTGTTTTCGTTATATATTGTGGTATAACAGATTCAGATATTTCATTTCTGTCGTGCATGAAATATTGTACTGACACAAGTAATCAAAAAAATGAATTGAAATCAAAAAGATCAATTGAAACAAAGAGACAAACAATATTTCCGTAATTGACGAGGGGCGCGAAAGACTACAAAAGTCATTCTGTCACCAACACAGTGTTGGCTGACTTCAGCAGCAGATGACGTCAAACAAATGTTGAATAAAAATTTTTTTTAACGAAATAGAGAATGCAATTTGGCAAATACAAATCAAATCAGAATATCATATTCGCAAAAGTGATAAAGATACATTCGAATCAGGAACTCTCTCTCTAGTTTTGCTATTTTTAGGAATATTTTTTGACTAAATTATTCAAAAACAACTAACAAATATTTATAAACAGCTTCACGCCCCCCTTCGCACCTTGGCCATGTCCAAATGTGGTATTGTATACCCTCTCTTCTCCACTTGTGGGCACACCGCATCGTTTGAGAACAAGTTGTTCACATTTTCAATGGTTAAATTTGAGCATCTTGGAATGGCTATGCTCTGAATTGCAGTCTGAATAAGACAAGCATTTAATGAAACCAAACTCCTGAGATAGGTTTGATTAATTAAAAAAAATAAAGGATGCTTCGGTTGTTTGTTGTCAGTTGTACATATTATTTTTGTCGTGGTTATAAGCTTGTCATGTCTGATTTCTTGTATTTTGTGTATTCTTCGATGTTTGGTGTTTTAATTTGATCAAAAATAAATGTGTTACCCTCAAAAATTATGTTGAGTAGATGAGGGTTACAGCATTTATATTTTATCAATTATTTGTGAATTGCTTTTTGATGGCTGTAAATTCTTGAAATTTAGCCTGTAACCCTTATTTACTATTATGTTTATAAGGAATGCATTATTGTTGTAATTGATTTTGCTTGACAACTTTCTGCTTTGCACGTTGGTCATGTCCAACTGTTGAATCGTTCTCGTGAGGCTTCATCCACTTCATATTATTTTGTAGGATATCACCATTCCGAACTGAACAGTTACCTGGACTGGAGTCTCTGTTTCAACATATGACTGAACTTTCATATCAGCTTTCCTCTCCATGTAGCAAATATACTGAACCAATACTAAAATTTTTAAGCGACACAAACGCTTTAGGTGCTAATTCATGCACATTTTTTCTCGGCCATGTTGACTTATTTTAAATTATGGATCTGTCATAACCCATCGTGGTCATATTCTAGTACATTGTCCATTGAACTTGGAATATTGACCAATTTTTGTCCAAGTAATGAGACTAATAAATAGAGGCACAATAACCCATTAGAGCAAATGTTTTAGGCTTGTTTTTGAATAGAAACGAAAAGCTATATATAGTATTGTTTTTTACATATAGGTAGACATATTTCCTTATCATTACTTGGTCAAAATTAAGGTGGTCATTTCTTAAGGTTCAATATACATTTGTATTCAAACCCACTGAAGCATTATATTCACAGTAGCTAATCCACTTTTTAGTAGTTACCATAATTTAAACAAGGATGCAACTACATCTGGAGTTTAACTTGCATAATACCTGTTTTGTATAGTGCCTCATAGATATTTTGATTGGGCAGGAGGTTTTCTGTAAGATTATCATTTCTGATTTTGCACCAGGCTTTCTTTATGCAAATTTTTAAAAAAAATGTCCACAGTGGAAATTGTAGTTGTATTACATCCGTCTCCGAGCCATTTAGAATATTCAGAAACTCAAAAACAAAATTTGACTTCCAAAACTTCATAGGCATACCCCTTTACCATAAGTGTACTTAAACCTCAATGCAGGGAACATTGAATTTGAAAATTCATTTGTGTGCTGGACTGTAGTCCAAAATCCATACATGGTGATAATTTTTGAGGCTTGCTTAGCTTAACTGTATTCTTTGTTTTTGTGTGACAGATGTATATATGTAAATAGCCTAAATTAGGTTGGGTGGATATGTACACTCTTGGTTTTGGAGGATATCTTTTGCTAGTCCGTTTGTAATCCTTGTTCCTGGAACTTAGAAACAGAACAAAAAATGGCGACAAGGAGTCAACATGCAGCAGCAAGAAGGCTTGAGTTTGCTGCACCAAATGAACCTGAGTCTCCACCTGCAGATGTTTCCTCCAAGACTCAGAAAAAAAGAAATTCGCGACGTAGCCGCAGGAGCTTTTCACCCGACATATATGGAGCTGGTTCTGATTATGATGAAAACACACCGTCACCAGCTCGAAGTGCTGATGAAGTTCTTTTGCTAAACACCAGATCAGCAACTGTACGATTGTCAACTTTTCCGAAATTCCCAAACAGTATAGAGTCTTCCAGACTTTGGGCTTCTAATGGATTCTACATCAACGAAAAAGGTAATGCGGAATGCTTCTCTTGTCATGTGATTATCATAGATTGGAAAATATTGAGTGACCCGAACAAGGTGCACATGGAAAGATATCCAAAATGCAGGTTCAGAAGGGGCGAGGACACTGGTAACGTTCCTTTCAACTGTCGCCCAGCTACTCCATTGCTATCAAGTAGTGATGATGACAACATACCAAGTCCTCCTAAGCTCCGTAACCTAATGGACACTCCACCAGAAACCCCACGTCAAAGAGCGTCCGCCCCGCCTTTGAGATACGGACGAACAACTTCACAGCTGAGTCCAGTGAACCAAGCAGACACTCAGGGATGCTCGCACTGGGACGTTACACCAATCAAAGAATATGAAACTGCCAGTATATCTACGAAATCGGGTATCAACTTAAGCAGATATGTCTATGATGAAGAATAGTGTAAATTAAGAATATTGTGCCAATGACTTAAAGTGAGGAATAAGAATGGACAATTGATCTCAAAGCCATTTGATGATCTCCTCTAAGAAGAGCCATCGGAGCATAATGATAATCCATTCCATAGGACCACAAGAAGTACACATTCTAGCTCAGAATAAAGAATATAAAACATAATCGGAGTGGCCCACGATGTTGGCCAAGGTGTATGACTGCTGGCTGTTTAGGTTACAATTCAAATGTATTGCATAGTACATAATAAATAGCAAACGAATCGCCATTCACAAAATTTTGGACCACTTTCATTGTAAACATTGTAGGATTCAAAGCTTTAAAACAGGTTTTCTCGTGGTTTAAACTCACTAACAACAGGTTCACTAATTTTAGAAAACCATTGGTAACTAGATTTGAACTGGCATGTAAATAGCAAGTATTATTGATCGGGCATGCCATCTATACAAGTTCTGTGCTGCCAATCATGCTTAATATTAAAGACCAAACTTGCATATAGACCAGTAAATGATGCACATTGTTTTGCATATAGTTTTTTTATGTATTAGTTGGTTAATGCTGGTCCAGATCTTTATTAAAAGGAGTAATGTTAATATAATACAAACTCAGGTAGATAATGCTTGATATGAACTTTCAACATTATTTTGTAATTTTCTAAACTCTTTTAGGTGATTCTTGCCGATTCCCTCAAAATAGAAAAATATAATAGATTGCTTAATTTTTCAGCCCGAGTTGCCAACACAATGTTGCTGGTCCAGATCTTTATTAAAAGCAGTAATGTTAATATAATACAAACTCAGGTAGTTAATGCTTGATATGAACTTTCAACATTTTTTTGTAATTTTCTAAACTCTGTAAAAGGTGATTCTTATCGATTCCCTCAAAATAGGAAAAAAAAACAAAAAAAACACCATGTTGCCTTAATTGAGTATTAAATAAAAATCATTTCGGTTATATTTATAAAGCAATGTTTCATCCTATAGTAATTTTTTATCTATGACAATCAATCATTCGTTAGTGTCGTTTTGCCACATGAATCGCTTGGAAGTATTCTTCAATTTTTACTCATCGATGCCAAATTTAGTTTTTTGGTCATCAACATTAAGAAAATGTCATGTCTTCAAATCTACATAATGCTACTTAGTGCTCTGCTCGTTTGTTTGAATTTGAATTTTCCAATTTAAATTATCTTCATTTTCATTTTCAACACTAAGTAAGTTGCCACTAATAAGTAGTCAATGCAATGATCTAATCAATTAGTGTCAAAACTGATAGATTGTTGAGAACATTCCAGCTTCCACACCATTCAATGATTTCATGAAACCAACCTAAACATTTTTGTATATGCCATTTCCTATGACTTTTGTACTATGAAATTATCTTTTCCACTATTTTTTCATATTTGTCATTGCGACAGATAAGCCAATTTATTAATTATTCCGAGTTCATAAGCTTGACTGGTGCAGGTGCCAATGACTGACCAATGGATGAACCCCCCATTCATCCTCTTGTATAAACCACCATCATATTACCCACCATGGGATTCAAATCCTTCTAGGTTAATCGGCAGTGTGAATGCATGCCTCTGGCCTAACTCTTGAAAATTTGATGATATTACCCGAATGACTGATGATTTTCCTTAACTTGGCACATAAAAGTAAATTCAAGTTGGTTATATCTGCAATATGTAGCTATGCCATGAAATGAAACATTTTTGCTAATTAATCACATATGCGGTATAAATCATTTGAATTCGTTCAGTGTAATTATCTGTGAAATCTCTGTCTGAATGTGGAAACCCTTTGGAATATTTTTAAATTTCGAAACCTCACCCCACATACACAAATAAAATGATTTACTCTATCATTCCCCTCCCCAATTTTATTCTTCCATTCCTGTATGACTTATTGTCTGGTATTATTATTAATGAAATGAATAATATACACACTATAGGGACCATCATCTCTTCGTTTCTGTTGTCCAAATCCAATTTATCTGCGATTTTAATTTATTACAATTCTCGATGCATTTTGAGTGTTTGATTATTTTATGGAGAAACTATGAAAGACGTGCTTTGGGTAGAATTCTTTAAAAAAAATGGAGTAGAAGAGAAAGGAAGATTATTTTCATTGAAGAAAGTGGTGGTATTGGATCAATGTAGCATTTCATACTGTCTTTAGCGCAGCCACAGAATAACCACCGGCAGTCCGGCTCTCTTGGTTGGTTGTTCAATGATATGCGGTCACCATGGCGACCGCGGCCTGTCGTGTCTGGAGTTGCTTTCTTTCGTTATTATCCGGGTTAACGGGTCGCTTAATGGCGTCCCAAGTCCGGCTTTTGTTAGTATTTTATGTTTGACTTCTTTCTCATTATGATTTAATATTAGACTTACTGCCTCAAAGGTGACGCTGCTCGACAACCTTCTCTGGTTTATCGCGTCTCCCTTCACACTGAAATGTAATTTTTCATTTTTTTCAATTTTGTTCGTCAATGTTTACATTCGGTTTGTGATAAAATAAACTACTGACTGACTGACTACTAATTCTGTTGGTCAGATATAAATAATCCCCAGCGCAGAGGCGTAGCCAAAGATTGGGAGAGGCAATCCTTCCGAACGAGATACATGAAATTACTGGCTTAAATAACATAATTAGCGGAGTAAGGCTGTGAAGATCTTCTTCAAGGTATCGTGAGGCATCTGTGGCTGGTTGCAAGAGTGCTTTTTTTACTGAGTAATTAATTTTATTTCCTCGTTTTTTTCACTCCCGACTAATCATGTCTCAGTCTCGATGATTGTATGTGTGTGTGTGCGTGCGTGCGTGCCCTAATTAGTTTTTATCTTTTGGGTAAGCGAACACGTACTACTATTTTTATAAATACCTTCCCATCTAAATCTGTACGCTTTAAACCTTACTTGAGGTTTCGTTTGCTTTCCCGATTTTATATTCAGTTTTATTTATTGTGTTTTTATCAATTATTTTATCGTCTATTGCTGATTATAGAGTCGAAATAAACTTATACTTATACATATTTACGCTTATACTTTTATTATGCGAGGAAAAAACAAAGATACGGGTATTTTATATTGTTCGACCTTTTGCGCATGGCGGTCCCCGGTGATTTTTTATACCTTATTGAAAACTATTTTAGCTTGCCCAATGTTGTTTAATGTCATTGGTTTACCCAACGACTAACATGTACCGCGTGACAACAAGAAGTTTTTTTTTTTTTAATTGCGGGCACTCTGGAGTCTGGACGATGTCAGACTCAAGGAGAGTCCTTGAGTTGAAAATAAAATTCAAAGAAGTTTACGATTGCTTCAAGTATGGATTAATTGGGGCCTATTAGCAAGCATATGGGTGAAAATAACTCTGTCGCAATAGGAGCAGCAAATGCGCCACACCGCCTAGTCCTCTTTTTTCCCATTCTCGCCCCTCTCAGCATTGTGAAAGTTCATGTTAGTTATAGGATTGTTACAAGGCCGTTTACATTCAAGTTGGATTTCTTCGTCTTCTGTATCGTATGGTAGACTTAGAGGATTACTTATTGCATTACGTATCATATCTTTTTAATACGGAAACCAATAAGACCGATAAATTATTAAGCGAATTAATCTTCAAGTCACACATTTTGCGTGAGATAGGGAAAAAATAATTAATTGATCTCACCCGGTTACCGGTCAACCAATGACCTTAATATTGATAAATTCCGGACTCCGATGCAGAGTAACCTGATCAGATTCAGAATTTCCCCCTGTACCGGTGTTATTCGTTAGGCTTGCTGAAGTCACTTTGGCTGAAGGCTAATTAGGTGGTTACCGGTGCCGGTTAGATTTCTTGTCGATCGTGCAGGTTGAGGTCACTAGAGTTAACCGTTAAATATATTATTGATAAATTCCAGCGCGGACCGCATTATGGTACAGTCGGACAGTACCGGTAATAGGAAAAATTCTATCTTAACTTCAGAACTTTGTATCTACAGAACTAACTTATGTTTGTTATATCAATTCCAGTTATACCGTAACTGTATAATAAATTAGTCTAACTTGACACAATGCCAGTCACTGGAAACTATGGACAAGGTGGTGCAAGCGGACAACGTCCATCATGTTGGAGTACAATTAAAATGGGATTCGGAATGGGATTTTTTGTTGGAATGTCTGCTGGCGTTATATTCGGAACATTTGGCGGTTTAAGGGGCGGAATGCGAGGACGAGAATTAATGGGAACTATTGGAAAGACTATGCTCCAGAGCGGGGGAACATTTGGAACTTTTATGGGAATTGGTATGGGTTTGAGAGGATGTTTATAACACGGATCATGGATTTGTGATGAACTGTTTACAATTTTGAATTTACAATCTTGTGCCCGCTTTATAGGGTTGAATTTATGCGGTCAATATTTCATTCAAATGAATCCTTTTGTAACTTAGCAAAACTCTGTTGAAAAGGAAACTAATGCAAACAATTTATCTCGTTCCATCGAGAGGGATGCAATTGTAGAAAAAGAAATCACTGGAGTCCCAGCTTCTCAATATCAGCCATTTAACGAAACGTGTGTCTCGTCTTTGGAGTACAATTCAGTGATCATGAAAACTTGAAATAACGGCATTGACATTACTTTATCCTTATGACATAGATGCAGCGTTGCAGATATGGACTAAGTTAGCTCTTTCCACATTGATTGTTAATACCTACCGGTAGTTCATTGTAAGAAGGGTTTTGATAGCGTTAAATTTTTTTGCTTCGTTTCTCAAGTGAGCTTATCACCAAATGTGTCTTTAGTCCCAATATTGAATAAATCTATTCTGAATATGAACGAAATTATTGTTTGCTAGCAATCTAGGTTTGCGAAGTATATGAATTTTGTATTTTTGAGAGATTTTTCAAAAACAGTAACAAGTTTAATAATTCTGTTACAAGCTATGATTTTTTGCTTTCTCTATAGACAACCCAACCCCTGTATAAAATATTCCTCAACTTAAACTCCGTTTGATAGGATAGCCCCCACTGTTCTAATGTACAATTGATCATAAAATAGTGCTTTTTAAATGATTACAGGTTTTGAATTAGTAGCTTTATAGGGTTAGGTTTTATTATTAAATCATTCTATATTTTAAACACAAGAATGAACCCTTTGCCCGGCCTACAGAGGCCTATCCGCAAAGCAACGGAAAAGATTTTTACCCAAGGACAAAGATGTTATACAGAACAAGCTTTTAAAAAACAAACAACACAGAGGCAAAAACTAGTTACTGTCGCAACTGCTGCAGCTGTATCAGGAATCGGGATTTATGCTTATCGAAAAACACAGACAAATCCTATGATTTTACATGCTGGGGTGGAAAAACAAGCGTCAACTCTGCATGATGATCATATTCTTGTAAGGCCTGTTCATAACAAAAATGGTTTGTTGTTCATGAACACTTTAGCGTTTTGTGAAGAACTACAGGTAGCTAAAGATTCGGATAGCGGCGATCCTGATAACCAAATTGAAACTGAAGCGAAACGAAAAAGAGTTGGATTTAAGGTACAAAAAATTGAGTGTATTTTTGGTACACTGCAATTTTTTAGTCGACCGATATGTAAATTTTTATTCCTAATCAATGTTGTGCTGACTGCACTAAATTCCCACACAGCATGGGTAGTCAAGCTTCGATGAGTTTGCACTTTTGAATTTCTAGTATTTCAAATTTTATCGATTGATAGTCAATATTCATTTGGGAATTTAAAAATTTCAAAATTTTTATTGGTCATACTATGAAACTTAAAATATCGAGTATAATTTAATTTGAATCACTTTGAATATCTAGGTATATTTTAGGCCATCAGGGTTAAAATATTCACCTATTTCAATAACTGATCTTTTTATTCTAAATGGATCGCAGGATCGCAAATTCATCGAGTATGAGAATCGAATCCGAGCTTATTCAACGCCCGATAAAATCTTCAGATATTTTGCGACTTATAAAGTTATTCACGAAAACAATGATGTGGAAATATTTATGACACCTGACGATTTTTTGAGATCAATAACGCCGGGTGAAAAACAGCCAGAGAATTTGGGATTGGATCAGTTCAAAGTATGATTGAATTTTTATCAATAAATATATTAATTCTCAATTTTCATCCATGTTGCTGACTTACGAACAATGGGAATTGAAACATTAAAGTTATAAATAAGGACACATAGTCCAGGCATTCTAGGTTTTACGTTTCCCTAAAACCAAGGTAGAAAGAATATCACATAAATGATGTAAACATATTCTACTAAACTTATACAAATAGCAAAGTAAACGAAATACAGTTATTTTATTTCAAACTCTGTCAGGTCTACCAGTCCCCAATTAAATATAACCCCTTTTAATTTATATAAATTTTTTGTTAGGTGGATGGGCAAGAGGGCTATTTAGTGTATTCACAAGGGATTCTGTTTTTCTCATTATTAGAGTGTCACCTTAAATTATCCACACAATTTTGGTAATAGTGATCATATATATATACCTTACTACACATCCTTCTTGTTACTTAGGTAATAAAGGCTGAATCGCTTTCAAAGTTGAAGTTCAAAAGCTCCTTTGAATTATCAGACGACAGTATATTCCGGGCTCTGGGTGAATGTGGACTCATTAATTTCAGTGATTATATATTTTTACTCACGGTAAGAATTTCATCTTGTTTTTTAATGTTAGTTGTAAATAATCTGTGCAAGGGTGGTCTTGAGTGCGAACCTTTAATCATCATTCATCCAAGGTCACTTACATTTAATTACCTAGCAAGTAAGGTCTCAGTATTTTATGGCGAATCGAAGGTCCTAGTCTTTCCTGATTATAGTTCTCTAATCTCTGTGACTAAGTGGGTATGGCCCTATTCAAAGTGGATATACAGAGTGTCCATGAAGTCATTTTACAATTTTAATTTTGTTATGAAGTCAGTTCTCAATATATCTTATTAACCAATACACCAAAACAATTTATGGTATCAATAAATTTCCATTTTTTATAGTTACTGGAAATTTTGAATTGATTGTTCCACTAGTGGCAGAGAAACATAACAGCAATTTTGCCAAACGATCAACACGTTCATTTTATGTCCAATATTAACAACATATTTCTACAAAATATTCAGGTTTTAGCAACTCCTGCTCGTAATTTTGAGATTGCTTTTCGAATGTTTGATTTGAACGGTGACGGTGAAGTTGATGTCAATGAATTTCAACAAGTTACAAACAGTGCAAGATCCCAAACCTCTATGGGAATGAGACACAGAGATCATAAAAATACTGGTAAGAAGTGTTTAAATTATTAAGATGAAGTTATATTGTATTTGTATCCTCGCATATGAGACAACCCCAAAATGCTGAATTTATCAAAATTCGCATATAAGCCGACCCTACAAAACAAGCAAGCGATCATGTGTATGACAACCAATCACAGACTAATATTGCATACCAAGCGCTGCTTCGTGTGTGTGTGCTTGCATGCTCTTATCGTGAGAACTTTACATGGTTTGAATTGTAGCTGTTGGAATTCGTTTGAGTGCGATCAGAGTTATGTGCGTATAAGCCAACCCCTTAGTTTGGCAACTTTTTCATTTCGAGTTTTAGCTCGACTTGTATGCGAGGAAGTCTTGTATGTCTTGGGAAGTCTGGTAAAATATATTACAGTAGATTATTTGTGAATGCCAAAAAGGCCTGTAATATATTTTACTAGACTTTCCAAGACATGCTCCGCGATGCTATAACAGGTTCCTAATTTTTTTTTTAATATCCCCCTTTGTCTATATTGGATCTATTCATTCCTCCCTCACTCACTCTGCATAAATTTCCCGTTTCTGTTATTTGTTCAATCTTATACAAATCTTAGCTGGTATTACGTGTACTCTGACTTTTGTATAGTTTGTTTGAATATAGTTCATAACGTGTGCATAAATATATATTTTATTGAAACTAAATATGAAGTAAAATTTCCTCCTCAAAAAGAACAAAATACCTCCCTGGGGAAAAATCCCTTCTCAGTTGAGAAACACCACAATAATGCATTTTGTGCAAAACGAATATTAATTATGTCACCAAATGGCACTTCATTTTAATATGATTTATTTTTGTCAGCCCTAATTTAAAACTTGGCAGGTGATAATCAATTTTGTCTAAATTTTGAGAGATATAAATGGCGTTTTCAGATATTCTGGCATATTATGATCGTTCAATTGCAAAAAAATCAGGCACATATATTGCATTTATTGAATGTGCATTTCTCATTAAACTTTTCCTTGATATAATTTGAATGTTAATAATTTTATTGTTTTTTCCAATACATGTTATTTTATTTATTTTTATAAAATTCAAATGCGTTGTTTTCAAGTAGGTTTGGAAAGTCTCCTGTAGATAACATCTAACTATTTTTGTTCCTTTTTTTTTCAAATATTTAAAATTGGAAATTTCCAACTTTTCTATTTATTTTCAGGAAATGTTGTAAAATCATTTAAAGACTCAAATTCAGCAATATCGTCGTATTTTTTCGGAACTGAATCTGATCAAAAACAGAAATTAACTGTCAAAAAATTTATCGAGTTTCAACTGAAATTACAGGTTAGTAATATGTTCTTGTATGGGATGTTTCCACAAGCATCGATTTCCTTGTTTATTTCCGTACTAGTAACCAATCAGCAATAAGTTAACAATGACTTAACTATATAGTAATATGTTTTTATATGGAGAGTTCCTTGAGAAATTTTATAAATGATGACAGTATTGGATAAAAACAATTTGCATGTTTTGAACTCTAAAATTACTGCCCAGTATATTCGATAGTGGGCGCTTCAGAAGTATGTGTACCAATATGGATGTATGTATGGTAACAACCGGTAATTTTGTTCGCCTACTTTACATCAAGTTGTGTAAAGGGACTGAAGCCTATGGGCACTTGGCTAACACAGAAGATCCTCGAACTTCTAAAAGAAGTAAAATAAGGAAATCGTAATTAAAGTATGGGAGTTTCCAATAGTGTAATGGTATATTCATGACTCGAATTTGAAAATTGGAAAAGCTTGACACAAATTGGACTTATTGATTGTTTTTTTTATTGAGGGGGGAGTTGTTTTTTTAGTTGTCACTTATTCAAATTATGGACCAATCTATTTTGAATTTCTAGTACTTGAAAATGAAAGGACTCACTAGAAGGGTATAGCGATCCAAATTATGTTAGTGTGTATGAAGATTCTTGAATCACATAGGATAGTAATAATGGTGTTTCAAATAATCATTTCGGGACACATATAGTCACTTAATTAGCTAATCAAGTCATGCCCATTAATTGATCCACACAGCCAATCAATATTAGCTTTGGCAGGTGACAGATGTCTGTCTTAGATTTCCTCGCCTTGTCAATTGTTATTGCCGAGATATTGATCTTCATTTAAATAATGCAGGTACTGTCGTTCCTTGTTCGTAGTATCTCTCCAATATTAATTTATTTACCAGTATATTGTGGAGGTAATATTTTATCCTAAATTATCCTTATCTTGATAGAATCAAAGTATACAGATCTATAACAGGGGTGGGCAAGGTTTTCGGATCAGGGGCCAAAAATGTTGCCCACCTAGACTGGCGGGCGGGCCATGAAAGTGTGACAGAAAAAGTTACATTTTATGAACAATATTTACTTTTTTAATAATATAATAATGATTTTAATAGCTCTGTGGCCCACTTGGAGGGGCCCTGGGCCCCCGGCTGGGGACCTCTGACTTAAGGGTTTGAGGATTTCTGCTGTATGTCACATTTATAACCACTTTAGTATACATTCTTTACCCCCCGAAAAATATCCTCTTCAGCTGGTCGATAGGTAGCTCAGTGACTTGTCACTCACTGCATGCTACTACTCTACTTGGGAAAACTGGAATTTAACGTCTGGTTCAAACTATATCGTTTTTTTTTATGGTGAAAACTGGATTTTACCGATTCAGTTCGATTAAAACTGGAATTTTCTATTTGGTCCAGTTAAAACTGGATTTTACCGGTTTGGTCTGGTAAAAAACTGGATTTTACGGTTTGGTCCGGGTTTGGTATACAGGCCTATTCTTTACCCCTCAGAAATATCCTTTTTAGCTGGGTATTTATTATGTAGTCCAGTGACTTGTCACTTACTGGATGCTGGTTTTAACTGGATTTTACTGGTTTAGACTGGTTAAAACTGGATTTTACGGTTTAGGGTGGATCTCGTATACAGGCCTATTCTATTCTTTTCCCCTCAAAAATATCCTTTTTAGCTGGCTATTTATGGAATTTACAGGTTTATTCCAGTTTTTGAAACCCCCTTTGAAAAATCCTAGCTGCGCGCCTGCTCTTACCATTTATACCCTTCCAATCCAATAGCTTATTTGCTAATATTGACGTCAATATATTGATTCTGCTTGAAACTGCACGTCGTCAATACTAATTATCTTACTATTGGAAAATTTGTTCTTTATTAATATTATCGCGGGCAAAAGGGAGAGCCTGTTAGAACGTCGTTCCTATTAAATTTTAACAACTAAATTTAAGTATGGTAGAACTCGTGGTAAAAGGTTTATTTTTGTTGTGATTTTTGAATCATGGCATTCAAATTTAAAAAATTTGCTGCAAATTTTACATTTTTGTATTGAGTCATAATTTAATCAATTTTTAAATAACTTTAAATAGTATAGAACCTGATTTTTTTGGGTGATTTTATATTAAACGAAAACAAGACATTTTCTGACATATCGGATTTAAAATCTGTTATTTTACTATTTCAAAATACATCGAAAAAAATAGTATTTAATATCAAAAAGTAAATATTTTTGCATTCATGAAGTTGAATAACAAATCTAGCATAGCCTATTCAATGTGTTTTCTTTTCTAAATAGAATATTAAAATTCCTTACAGGAAATTCGAAAAATTCACGGCTATAATTTGGAGATTGCCCAATTATTCTTAACCATGTCCATTGGACCATTACTGTCCAACTCAAATTATTTTGCAAATTGCTATAATAAATACAGATGGTCTTCACTACCCTATTTTCTTTTGATATTTAGATTTGATTCGAATTCTTTGAGCGTATTTCAAATATTTACTTGGATTTTATTTCGATTATCCAAATTATTAGCATGAAACAATTTTTTAAAAATTTTTTTATGATTTATGAACTGAAAATATACGGTAATAAGTTTTCATTTATTATGACGTTTTTAAGAATAATGGAATTCTAAAAATATAGGAAAATGGAGACGTTTTTCTTTATAAGCTTACTTTTACCTAAAAATGTTTTGTAGTCATATGAACCTTATTTTCATTATTTCACAAATTGCTTTTCTTTTTCTCTTGAAAAATTTATTTATTTTAGTTTTTTAACAAATAATAACAATATTTAGACAAATATATCTCAAACTATACCTGAAATCAGGAATCTAATGCGACATTTTCCAATAATTTATTCGTCCCAGACATCTTGTTTTATCGATAAGAGTAATGCTTGTATAAGCCGACCCCTTAGCTGAGTTTTAAACTCAGCTCAAATACGAGGATATACAGTTATTCAAAATAATAATTTTTGAAATTAAATTTTTTTCATCTGTCCAAAATTCTACAAAATTTTATTTATCAATCCACATAATTCTACAATTATCAGAACAGAAAAATTGAAATCGTGGAAAATTTATTTTTTCCTTAAACAACGAGAAAAAAATCACAACAATCTATATGCAGCAAAACGATCCATAGGTCTTTCGAGTCCAATAAAATTTCCAATAAATTTTGGAAATTTAATTTCTTTTCTGCTTCCATAATTCTGTGTAATACACGATTAGGAGCTTAAATTTCTTTAACAAAAAAAGAACAAAAAGTATAAAATGTTCGAAATATTCTATCAGACATTATAATATATTAATAATTAATGACTTGACACAGAATTGTCAGAAGGAATCAGCCTTTCACAGCTAAATACCAGATTAAATTTAATTCTTCATAAACTTTTTCAACTTGTGTGATGTGAGGACCCTTTACCATGTGTGGCCGGGGGACAATTATATTGTGTTAAATTTTACAAATTAGTACATTCATACCACATGACATTATACAGGGCGGTCTCTAGAAAAGCAGAAAATTTGTCAAACAGCTGTTTAGTTTTACAAAGTTTATTGAAGGCATGAAGGTATGTTTCCTGGCTTCTTCCATGATGTGGGTATTAAAATTGAAATCTAATAGAACCTAAAAGGTATCAACCTAGAACAACCTAATAGAAATGCAAACGGATCAAAATGAAATGATTTTATTTGTGATCTTACCTGACCTACAAATCTTCTGCTTTTCCAGCGACCACCCTGTAGATATTTTCATACAAATTTTGTCAAAACAAGGTCTCGAGACACAAATGAAATTCAAAGGGACATTCTGACACAATTAGAAATGTCAGAACCCCCGTATTGATAATTCCTGGTCGCGCTCCCCGATCGGAGTTCGGCATGTTTTTATTGACATTGGACTTGGAGCAGCAATGCCAAAGTCAAAGTAGGAATTCCGAATTCTTCGAGCCTGGAATTGGCTGTTCACACTGAAACTAATGTCAATCGTTTCTTAGGAGAACAAAATGAGAAAGTTCAGATAACAAAATTTTATAAAATAGCCAGCTCCAGGGATATATTTTCATTCTCTCTCTTTATTTTTTAACTTCATTTTACTGATTTCACAGGAAGACATCTTACGACTGGAATTCAATAAATTCAGCCCTAATTCAGACGATAAAATAAGTGAAAATGGATTTGCTAAATTATTGTTGACGTATTCTGGACTCAATCCTAAGAAGAGAAAAGGAATTTTGAAGGTAATGAATTTTCGTTCTTTTTTTTTCAATTTTCTTTAAGCCGATGGGAGGTGTATTTTTGGGCTCTTCAGAAGTGTTTGTACCAATATGGAGGTAACTAATTTTGTTCGCCTACTTTACATCGGATTGAAACCTATGGGCAAGGGGTATATTCACTTGGCTAATACAGATAGTCTCCGAACTTGTAATAGAACTAAAATAAGGAAAAACTCTAATCTGGTACACACACTGCGGGAGTATCTATTTTTGTGATAAAATCTTGTATTTCAAACATCAATTTTTATAATAAATCATACATTGAAAGCTTAATATTTAATTACTTCTCACATTTTATTATTAAATTCAAATCATCTCAAATTTGCTTAAAACACTCAGTGTTGAATACTAAACACCGAAACTCAGGTCATTACACTCCTGAGTCAGAATTGTGCTCGTAGAATTAGTTTTATGTCTTTCTAAACGTAGTGAAAGTGCTGAAACTGCTGCTATGTACGGTATTCAAAAATGTTTTTTTAATTCTCGATTCAAACATGTGATTTTAGCAGTTAAATTATACAGAATTAAAAAAATTGAATTTTAATGCCATTTCCATACCAATCAGTCACGTTACAATACTGCTGTTTTATTCATACAAAATCAATCTGAATTCCCATTTTTAAATATTTTTTGAATATTTCGTCAATTTTTAACAACGTTAGCTCTGACCTAGCAACGTGGCCCATTTTAATTATTGCTGCGATTGTTTTGGTATTTTCAAATATTTTAATACAACAATAAAAGGACTAGAATTTTTTTTATTGTTACAAATATAAGACAGATTCGCAAAAAAAATTTGAAATTTCCTGATTCTACCATTATCTTTAAGCAGTAATCATTTTGAGGCTATATATGTTTGATTAAATGAAATTTTACAGACTGTTTTTACAGATGTTAAAAAAATTAGATTCTTATGACAGCACATATCAGTGAGTCACTTAGCCATCCTGCTGTTTTGTTCACACAAAATCAATTTTGATTCCTATATTTAGCGATTTTAGATTTTTCGTCAATTTTTAAAAACGGATAACAACGATTAGTTACGGAATTCTTTTTGTCGTTGAATAATTAATGAGCCGATCAAAGTCAAGGTCACGAATAACAATGTTGTTTTGACGACGTGATACTTTAAGTTGTCTTACTGTGTTAGCATTGCAAATAAGGGGTCCCAAATTTAAACCCTGTCTCACCCCACCTCATCACCCAGGGGTAAATTTGCTAAATAAAGGCTTCGAAAAGTTTCTTTTTGAACATGATATAGGAAATAATAAAGTCCTAAAATGTTTTAAAATCGCGAAGGGAATTTATCGATACCATATATTGTTTTGTCCCTCACAGATGTATTAAATGAAGTAAAAATACTTGAACAATTACTGATTGAAAAACAACAAATCTGGTTAAGATATATTGAGAACTGAGAACTTCATAAGCCAGTTGCCACCAATCGGCTACGAATAACAAATAGTAAGGCAAAAGTAATTGTTTTATTTAAAAAAACACGTTGAAACTACATGAATGTAAATATCTAAAAAAAGGCGACAAGATCAAATCTAACAATTATTTTCATTTTCAATTAGCCTCACGACCCCGTAATTGTCTCCGCTTGATAACCACTGAAATAATAGTGCTCTCATCACGCAATTAGAGAATACTTGAGTATGACAGGGTTTTTGTGGTCATAATTTAGTTTACTCTAATTCTGAGAAATTTATTTTTAACCAGGTGTTGTGTATTACCATCGGTTAGATATGTAAGCCAAATCTAATTTAATACAATAATTCTGGGGTTTTGTATCCCTTGTGTATTTTCAATGCGAAACAAATCCGAAATTTAATATTTTAGTTAATTGATTTGTCATGGTATTTCTTCATGTCTTGTCTGTATTTTTATAACATCATTGCTCGGAACAAGGAATTACGTAAGCAGGCACGTACATACTAGTGCAGCGCAGCCCCCTCTTTAGAATTTGTCAAGTCTAGTGCTCCACTTCAAAAATAACTAGCTAACAATAAGAGATAGTAGATAGTAGTGCGAAAGTACCGTAAGTTTTTGAAAATATGTGGACGAAACATAAATAGTGAACTAAATAAAAAATGAAGATCAAATATGACAAATATTTTTATTTGCTTCACACCCCTTCAAAATTTGTCTACCTCCCACTTGTGGATCGGCGGATCGCGCCTACCGTTTGAAAACCACTGTACTAGCGTGTGTATTTTTACAAAAAGACCATATTGGTTCACTCATTCCAGTAATTCCCAACACCATTTTGCTAATGAGAGTTATTGCGTAATCACATGGAGCATTAGCACAAGGATTGTCAAACACTTAGATGTGAAATAGTCATTTTAGCACTTATTTGCAGAGGAACTTACACTAATGTTTGAAAAAAGGCTGATGCATTTTCGGTGCTAAGTACGATGTGCCAAGCACCAATTGCCATAGGAAGAATAGTAATAATTCGTAAAAATTTAATTTCAGAGAATTCGTAAAGAATTTGTGGATGATGAAGGAATATCATTCAAAGATATGCAGTCGTTCTTCTTATTTTTAAAACATATTCAAGACATCGACATTGCTTTTGACTACTACCATGCTGTGGGTGCAGACATTGATAAGGCCACTATGAAACAGGTATTTGGAAAAGTATTACCGTATTTTCCAGTGAAAAAATGAAACGAGAATATCGGTCAGAGACCGAAGACTTATCGATCAAAAGTTAGGGGATCCCCCAAAACAGCGCTCTTACTTTATAGTGACACCTTATGTCCCATCACTAATTAATTAATAACTCGCTAACTATATGACATAATTCAGGCTATATGACATAATTCATAACATAGGCTTCTGGTACGACATATGATGAATGCACATGCAAAATCTGGAGCAGATTCAATCTCACTTTCGTGAGATATCGCATGCATCTAACAGACAGACAGACAAATACTTATCAACATACTTACCGATTAAAATCGATAAGTAATAAACCGACCCCTAAAAATAAAATAAGCATAGCCGCCCAATAAGACGCCCCGCCCCCCTCTAAATCAGGTCGAACAAAATTGGGTCCGGAAGGGCCACCTGATGGCCAGGAAACACGGTATTTAATTATCCAAGAATTTGATATTTTTGTCTGAATACTTGTGCCAGCCTCGGTCTGGTGTACAAAACAAAACGTTATATGGATCCTTTGAGTGCTGAAATGCTTTCAATTTTTGTCTAATTCTTTGGTGTTGGTGACTCTTGGTGTATTCTCTAGCAGTTTATAAAAATTAGGCAAATGCTGTAATTTATTTGACTTTGTAAGTTTGCCTATTGGTTTTTAGGATTCTTTTTAATTATGAGTATCTTTATCAATACATCTGACGGTCTTCTTGGTCATAGTTTTTGACTTTTTATTTTTCTGTGTTTCTCCTTCTAATCTTTCTCCGTTTGAGTTTTGTTAATTGTCTTGTAAAATTTGACTACTCTTTTACTTAATTATATAACTTTAAATTCTACCTCAAATCATCGTATACAAATAGAATATTTCATGTTGACCTTTTAAATGAGAGCTCTCATCAGTCCTAAACCACCTAAATCAATTTGAACCATAATGATCAGAAAATCAGAATTTTAAAATGATAAAATTTCAAAATGTAGTCCGGTTTGTAACCCTTCTTTTATTTAAGAGCCATATTTTAAAACAGGATGATCCATGGTTGTTGGCGGGCCGCAAAAACATTTGAGCATGTCTCGCGGGCCGCTATCGGAAGGAACTCAAAAGTGATCAAAACATCGCGAGTTTACTCCCTTTACATATATTTAGAAATGAGAGTTTATTGTTCTAATCACTTTTTAAGGAAGATATATAAAGCCTTTAGTTATTTTAGAATTGCTTCGTGAGAAATACCGTGGATTCCGGTATCTTTTCTTGTGTTTGGTTATGTAATGTCGCTTCAAATTATATTCTCTCGTGACAGATATTACTTGAAAATACACCAGACACTGTGGTTTAACGTTGTTGTGAGTTAGGAAATACGTTTCCTTGCTGTTTACCTCGGTCACCTTTTTTCACACTCACTGTATGATGATTTGTTATATTTGACTAATTTTATTTCTTGTGATCAACCAAGGGTGTCTAAGTTGGGATTCCAGACCCAGCTAAAATAAATTGGATCGCGTGGCGCTAAGTCAGCTCCACGGTTCGTCACTGCTGTTACATGGATAACGCTTGAAAATAGAGAATTGTTTTTACTTAAATAAGGCACAAAACAAAACGTCTTTTTAAATGAGATAAACAATGTCTTTCCAAATGAGTTACTTGATGCGAGCGAAGTACAAAGAGCGACCCATCTCATCAGCTTGGTCCTGTCTGCACAAGACAATCCATTCCCCTTGTACCGATCACAGGACGTCATTCCCACATTGGCACTGTCTTGATGTTTATAGGTACAACATTGAAATTCCGTGATTTTAACAAACATGAATCCCAACATTGGGATTAAGAAAAGAGCTATTCCCAGTCGGAATAGTTTAAAAATAACATAAAATTGTTCTGCCAATAAATACGAATATCTGCCAATGATTTAGTGTACGCTGAAATTGTTCTGCAGGCCGCACGAAAAGTGCCGGCGGGCCAGGGTTTGGACCACCCTGTTTTAGAATAAAACCAACAAATTCGAACATTGCTCGTTTAAGAGTCTGCAAATATGACTTCAAAACTACTTTATCGATAACTTCTATTGTTTTAACGTTTTCTTTTCAGATTTTCATTTCTGTTCGTAGTGTGTTTGGAGAGGTAACTAACACAGTGTGAAAGCCATTCCCAGATTTTAACATTAATATCTGGAATTGTTTTTAATTTTTTGATAAAAACATTTTTTTCTAAATGTTTTTTGAAAATTGCTTCAAGTGTTTTATTTGTGTGTCTAAAAAAGATAATGAGCGCCTGTTTGAAAATAAGTTATGTGTTGTGTTCGATAATTCGTTTGACTGGATTTTCGCTTTTTTGTATTTTTACATTTTTCTATATGCTGCTTGTGGCTTTCACTCTTTGGGGGCGCAGTGGGGGTGTGACATTTGAACCCAATATGTACAATCTGCTATGCCAGCACAGTTAAGTTCAACGCTTTTCTCTGTTTTTGGGTCCAATTTGACAATTTTTCAGTGAAAAAACAGTAATTTCGAATTTTTTTACAACAAAACTTTAATTTATAATTTTGATTTATCTCATAGACACTGCCTATCATCAAGAAATTTGTTTTGAATAGAATAGAATACTATTTCACTACATCCTAAGACAAGGGCTAATAGATATTGTATATTGAACTGCAGGTCCTTTCTCCATGTCATCTTCCAACTTTGGTTTCATATGTGTCAGAATGCTTGAACGAGATGTTAGCATAAAGATAGTTAAGAATAGATTAATCTCTTCCCAAAAAATAGCAAGTATGATCATAGTCTAACTTCTTCAGACAAAACAAGATATAACTTAATCCACAGGTTCTCAAAGTGCTCCATATGGGCCCCCAGGACTCTGTGAAAGAAACCTTGGAGCCACTCGATTACTCATTAAAATACTGCTAATTTTGTAACTGTCGAAACAATAACGGTATTAATAAAATTTGACAACCGTAATTGAATAAAAATATGTTTTTTCATTTTTATTTTTATAAATTTATTGTGAGACTCCGTAAACAATAGTCAGTCTATTCACAGGCTTCATAACACCTAAAGTTTGAGTAACCCTGGCTTGATCAATCAGCGATTTTCATTCAAAATCATTATTCACTGTTAACTATTATCTAACGAAAGCTCACCAATGTACTTGACATTTCGTTTGGGAGAGAAAATGTTCTGAAATAGAAAGCAGACGGAAAGAAAGGGCCTGCTGTGTATTACACAATATCCTAGTACTTCTAAGAAAGCTCATTAAGTTTTTTTTACGTTTTATGGGGGTAGATGACTCTGATGTCCATATGATCGTATCGCTACCCCCAGTTGGTATGTTGTTATATATCTTTATTATTGTTGCAATGCTTGTTTTTTCTGGTTGAAGAAAAATACATTTTTTCTCTCTCGTTTTTCAAAGACTACTTTGGAAATCGTCACCCAAAACCAACTCAAACTTGTTTTCCATCCTTCAGGTGGCGAGGACAGTTGCTGAGGAAGAATTATCGGATCATTTAGTTGATGTTGTCTTTACGGTCTTTGATGAGGACGGCAATGGAACTCTCAGCAACAAAGAATTCGTCGCTTTGATGAAGCAAAGGTTAAATCGAGGTTTAGAGAAACCTAAAGACACTGGACTATGGAGGGTCCTTGATGCAGCTTGGAAATGCGCTAAAGAAACTTCTTGGAAGGCTCCGAAAGATGAATAAGATTTTTATTTTAGCGTTGTCATGGCAGAGATTTTTATTCTAGCGTCGTTATGGTAGTAAATGTTCTCAATTTGGCATCAATTGTTTGGAGGATCATTGTTTGGTAAAAAAAATTAGTTTTACTTCAGCTACCGGACCAATTGCAAATAGAATATCCTTCTGCTTCTAATTTTGGCCCCAGGTCAATCAACTTTAGAAACCACTGTTCAAGATACTTTAATTCCTTGCTTCAAAGTCAATAGTATTCAATTTATGTTCCATTGTTTAGTGGTGCAAAGCTGAGTTTATACATAGGGATTCATGGTAAAATTGGTGATACCGTAGTGTGTGTACCAGGTTAGGGTTGGGCCATAATTTTATTTCGATTTTCCTTATTTTATTAGTTTTATTACGAGTTCAGGTTTACTTAGCCAATTGAATATACCACCTGCCCATAGGTTTTAGTCTCTTCATACAACTTGATGTGAAGTAGGCGAACGAAATTGGTTACCTCCATATTCGTACACACACTTCTGGAGCGCCAAATTTGTTATTCACTTTAGGCTTTGCATAACCGGGCTACAACCCTGGTTGGCAACCCTGAGATCATGCCAATCATGCTAAAATTTAGAATGCTTCCGAAATTTTTTTAAAATACATGAGGAACTTACAAGTGTCAAATATTGCTGTAAAAATTTTCTTCCAAAACTGAAGCCAAGTTATGCTTTGTATGTTGCTGGAAGTCTTGTCCTATTCAATTTTTTTTTTATTTGAAAATTATATTTCAGACTGATCGCATTAAACCAAGGAATGTCCCAAATGTATAGCATATATTTATTATTCATCATTATGATACACGGATTTTTACAAAATTTCCAATTTTTTTTCCCCAAATAATCTACTTTATAAAGACAGAAGACGATATTCAAGCTGAATGAATATCGGGAATCGATTTTGCTATTATTTTATCGATGCATGATTTTACTGACCTGCGGATGTGTTTGATTCACCAATCAGGATATTTGCTGTTACTTAAGCAGGTTAAAACCAGGTCTCTGATAAGCAGGGCAGCAATCGGCTGCTTAAAAAAAAATCTATTCTGACTCTTGGCTGTATAAAATTTTGACTATTGTCTTCAGATCCAAACTATAAAAAAATTAAATTTTAATGACAAGAAATTTGCAAACCGTTTTTGTTATAATCGCTCAGTAGAGTTGATGCTTTTCGAGTTCTTGTAGCAAATTACTGCTTTTATTAAATGTCTAAAACAGGAATTTTTGAACCCACCTGAGACACTACATCCCTGCTAATAATCGTGGTATACCGCTGGTATATGTACGCTTTCTTATACCTGATGTACTCGAGAACCTATTGTATAGGGTGTCCATAAAGTCTATTTACAATATCAATTTTGTTATGAAGTCAGTTTTCAATATATTGTAACCAGGTTTGTTGTTTTTTAATCAGTAATTGTTTGAGTGTTTTTACTTCATTTGATACATTTGTGAGGGCAAACAACATATGGTATGGGTAATTCCCCTTGCAATTTTCAAAAATTTTAAGACTTCATGGACACCCTATATAACCCTAGCCCTATTCAGAATGAATGCTTTTACCCCCTTACCTATATATATATATATTAGAGGTAACCATAGTTTTTATTTAAAATTTATTCTTGAAATCTGTATTGTTGTCTCACTTTGTTTGTGTTTTAGATTAATCATTTGCACGATATTTCATTGTATATTCTGTACCATGTTATGAAATATAGTATTGAAATATTATGACAATCGTTCGTTAGATTTTTTGTGTAGTTCCCTTGCTTGTTAACATTTTCAAAGAGCCTGTGTACCATAGAATTAGAATCAATTTGTGGTTCTCCAGAATATATTGTCAAGGTTATAGAGTTGAGAGTTATGACCTTTCTCTACTGAATGACATGATAAATGACTGTCGAGAACACTTGGGCTTACTTGGGCTTTTTGAGTTTATGTAGAAAATTTGGTATTCCTGTGTTGTGTGTACCAGGTTAGGCCATAATTTTATTCCCATTTTTAGTTCTTTTACGAGTTCGTGGACTGTCTTAGCGAATTGAATATGTACCCACAACTAAGTGAAGAGCTTGGTTACCAAAACATTAGAACTAGGATTTGCTGCATTTGAGGTTATCTGTATGCCATCCTTTGCCAGGGTTATAAGCCGTGGATTCATGATAACCTATGACTTGATAGCGGAGGACGCTCAAACTTTGGGCTTGGGCTTTTTGAGTTAATGTAGAAAATTCGACTTTCGTGAACCCGATTGCAGTGAAAGCATAATGAACTCAACTCAAAATCCCTGCTAATAATCCTGCACAACACTCTACTTTAAGTTTGACCCTAATAATTTCAAGTCAAATATGATTTTTATTAATGAAACAGTGATTTCAAAGATCTTACTAGAAGGCAGTAAAGAACCAATGGAAAGTTAATAATTATACATTACTGGTCAATTACACCTCTACATAGTTTTATTCTCAATATTTATTGCTTGTGGTGGCGATGTTTCTTTCGAGTAAATGCTGCACATCTTTGAGCAGTAATGGCTGCACCATCAAGGCGATCAACTATATACCGCCTCTACCCACACCCTGAGGATTGCTTGTGTGTTGAATATAACGATGCGGGAAGCTGTCTGCATTAGAAAAACATTGTATTCTTGCTTTACCAGTGGAAGAACAAGCGAGGGAGTTCTTTATGCGAAGGCAAAGTCATGAAGAGCCATGAGGAAGGTCAATTATACACTACTTGCTTCTTTAAAGACATTATTATTTTTATCACGATTCAGGGATATGTTATCACATGCTTGAGGAATATTTCTTTTTTGAATTTGATTCAGGCTTCATCCATGGAACTTGCTGAATCTTCCTCATCAGACGTCACGTCAGGATCATTTGCCTGATCCTCACATTTATTGCATTTACAGTTGAACAAGTAATTTTCAGAGAGAAGTTTTTGTCGTGAATGTCGACTTCTGCTCAAGTCACAATCTCCCAGGTACGAAATAAAGATTTCGCTTCCGCTAGGGATAGGTTTCATTGCTCGTAATGTAAGCTTATGATCAGAGTGCTCAAATGCAATTTCAGCGTTCGGATCACAACTGTGATTACAGGAGCTTTGCAGTTTATATAAACCAACACCTTCACAGTTCAAAAAATCGCCTGAAACCTCTTCCAATTTTTCGTAAAGTTCGTCAATAAAATTGTCAAGTTTTGTTCGCTCTTTTTCATCTAAACTTAATTCATCACAGTTTTTGACCCAGGTACTGAGTGAACTTGACCCTACACCTTGTTGATTTGTTCCTAAAAGTGCGAGAAGCGATCGAAACCCTTTTTCTGAAAACCAGTCTCGTATAGAATCATCATACAAGAAATCTTTTAATTGCGATCGTAAATTTTCAATTTGGTCAATAAATTTGTCACCTAAAAGCTTATGAACAATCTTATCATTTTCATTCTCGCTTTGATGACAAAAATTCATCATTTGCTTTATTGTTTTAACTTTGTTTTCCGATTGCTTTACAATTGCTATCATTCTGGCAACAAGCATAATGCTTGCACTTTCTGGAGGATAATGGATTTGTTTCCAAGTTTCCTCTAACATATTCAATTCATTTTTTATTGAGTTTTCATCACGGAGGCATAAAGTCTTATGATATTGCTGCATTGATTTTGATTTGCAAGTTTCACTACAATATTTTACATCACATGAGTCGCATTTGACATGTTCGCTTTTATTGACTGTACAACATTCCAAATGTGGCAACACTAGTCCATCATCTTGACATAATCGTCGACACATTTCTTCAGCCGTTTCCAAACTTCTCATGCAGTGTTCACAAGCTTCATATTTGTAAGCTTTATTCCATGAAAACTGGCAATTTACTAACGGTTCTTCCGTGAATATGACATCACCCTCATCGAAATCAACGTCCGCAAAGAGTCCTTTGCCTTTTCCACTGGATTCGTCAACACGAACCGGTAGACACGCCATATTAATTAGGTAAATAAACGATTTGATATCGTCCAAACTACAAAAAAACAAATGCACGAGGTTGTTCTCTGCACTGAATTGTCTTAGAAATTATTCCGCGAGATGGCTCTAAGTTCACTTACTCTTTACTGACAACTTGTGGGCATGATTGAGACAATTACATTTTCGTTAGAGGGCGCTAACGAATATTAATCTATATTTTTGGCCATTGAGCCGAGTTTTGTATTTTTTTACATTCTAAGGTTTGTTTTCGTGCAATTGAGCTATAAAATGGCGTCCTTTTGTCTGCTTTATTTTACGGCTGTAGCAGTATTGTTTTCTTTGGCATTTTGCGGGGAAACGAAAAGATTCCTATTTTTCTACGACAAAGAATCAAACTCGATACTGTCTCAAGAAGTTCTCCGTTCTGATCCTCCACCACCACAGTGGATTGTCGATGCTTCTTACACGGATAACATTGAGACAACAGGATGGGCGGTTGGAGAATATACTACCAATACAGGTAATTTAGACAAATGGTTTTTAATTAATTTAGTCATGTCATGTAGGCAACAATTGCACAATTGGTTTGTTCAGTCATTCCAGAAACCCACTCCCGCATTCGGGCATATTTATTTGGGTCTTCTGAAGTAGACTATGTGCCCGCAAGTAGGCTACTTCTAGTTCGCCTGGCTCAACAATCTGTGCATTGTCAATCCTAACCCTCGCCTGACTGTGTCATCCAAAAATTATGTCACTGCCACTTCCCACTAATGTAATAAGGCCTTACAATCTATACCGGTACGAACTGTCATCCAAGGCGCACAGGCGATCACCCGAAATCAAGCAAGGTATTTCTCTATTTTTTTTCTCTCTCTATTTCTCTAATCAACGACCCCGATTCGGGCGATCGTAGATATGCTTGCAACCTTCATAACAGAGGTCGGGAACCCATGGCTCGCGAGTCATATATGGCTATTTTGGTGACTGCTTAGTGGCAGTATGGCTCCCAGAGAAATCCAATATTCTAAGGCTAAGATTACTATTGTTACCAGATTTCCCCTTTAATCAAATTTGCCAGAAAATTTTACAACAAGTTGAAGAGTGAGCGATCAGCGCATGCATGTCTAGGTTATGTTAGAGAATTGCCAGGCAGGCATTGTGACAAAACTAGGGCATTCTGGAACAAATTTTGTTATATCACGAAGCGATAGAGTGGCGGAGCAATAAAAGAATGAATCAGTCTGTTTGTACTGATTATTTGTAATATTTAGATTGGGCTAGCAAAACTAAAACTAGTTGTTCAAGGCCCTCAGCGACAACATGCAGCACCAGAAGAACCCTTAATTGTATGCAGTATCGACATTGTATGTGTTGACTTCTGAGTAAAAATTTAAGACATGATTAGGTGATGAAAAATGTTATATGGCTCGCACAGAAAAGCAATTGAAAATATGTACCTTTCATGACTCTCTTGCCCAAAAAGGTTCCCGACCCCTGCTCTATGATGTGATTGCGACGTCGTAGTGACATAATTTTTGGATGGCGAAGTCAGGTGGGGGTTAGGAATAGGATTGAAATGTGCAAAAATTGTTATGCTACGTCCACTAGAAGTATGTTAGGTACGAAACTACACAAGACCCGAATTGCGTCCTCTGTGTGCTTTGATAAATGTTCCATTCCAAGTCCTTGCTACTGTACTGATTTAACCTAGTTTTTATTCAATGAATGTAAAATAGACTACCAGCCTTTAATGTTTTCTGTGGTTAGATTTTGCCTCAAAGCCACACTCTAATGGTTCATATTGGCACTTAATAAAGTAAATCTGGTTCCTTTTATCAACTTGACAATGACTTGTTTTCATATATTTTGTAATTTACTCTTTTTTTGTCAGATCTTGATCCACATTTCCAAGCTTATGCTGCAGGATTTGCAGAAGGTTTTATTACATCTGACAGAATCGCTCAAACAAGGAATAATACTTTGAAAGGATTCTGTGATAAGACACCAATGAGTAAATCCTGCATAAAAATTCATGATTTTTTGCAAGACAATATTCAGTGGATGTTACAAATGATCAAAGAGAATCTTGAAGATAAATTCTGGGATGAAGTTAAGAAAGGTCTCCTGCAAGTACAAGGATTAGAAGATGGATATAATAATCTTGCAGTTTACAACCCTACGATTCGTCTCAAACCGTTCGGATTTTACCTTTCCCAACTCGGCGGAGACTTAGCAGCTCTTGAGGATGCGCTCAACGTTAAGCATTTCCGACACCATGTGTTAGGGTCAGGTTCTTGTTCTGCATTGGTAAAATTAATCAAAGATAAATCTGGAAATACAGATTTACTTGTTTCGCATGATACGTGGAACACTTACAACACAATGTTGCGAATGATAAAACGTTTCAACTTTGGGTCACACTCAGAAGCGTTTTCTGGTTACCCAGGCGCTATTTTCGCTGGTGATGATTTCTATATCCTTTCTTCTGGCTTGGTTGCCACAGAAACCACAAATGGAAACATGAATCCTGATCTATGGAAATTTGTTACCACAGAAACGATCCCCGAGTGGTTAAGAAATATTGTAGCAAACCGTCTCGCTATGAATGGGAAAGAATGGTGTGAAATATTCTCAAAATATAACAGCGGAACGTATAACAACCAGTGGATGATTGTGGACTATAATCAGTTCGAACAGCAATCAAAAACTGGTGTGTTGCATGTTCTGGAACAACTTCCTGGTGAAGTAGTCTATGACGATGTCTCAAATGTTCTTTTTAGTCAAACATACTGGGCAAGTTACAACGTTCCATATTTTCCAAAAATATTCAACGATTCTGGTTTTCCAGCATTGGTGAAGAAATATGGCAACTGGTTCACACACGACAAGAGCCCTCGTGCAAAAATATTCGCTCGCGATCACAAAAAAGTTGTTGACATGGATAGTTTAATCAAATTAATGAGATATAATGATTACAAAAACGACCCATTTTCGAAATGTAATTGCACCCCACCTTACAGTGCTATAAATGCTATTGCCGCACGCTCCGATTTGAATCCTGTCGATGGTGTCTACCCTTTCCCAGCTTTGGGTCCCCGGGCTCACGGAGCATTAGACGTTAAAGCGACTTCTCATTCATTGCAGAAAAGTTTAAGCTTCGTTGCGGAGTGTGGTCCCACCCATGATCAACAGCCAGTATTTGAATGGTCAAAATCCCATTATGCAAATGTATCTCATCTCGGAATGCCAGATAAATTTGATTTTAGCCCTGTGTTGATTGTATGGGACAAGTAATGTATCATGCTGTGGTTCTCAAACTTTTGTCAAGTTCCGCGCCCCACCTAAAAAATACAAGCTAACGATAAGCTATAAATAACCTTTAGTAAGGCGAGAATATCTTGTATCAAAAAAACATATTGGAAATATGTGGACATGATAAAGAAATGTAAATATCTTAAATAAGGGTGGCAACATCAAACCTAACAAATATTTTTGTTTTTAATTCGCTTCACATCCCTTCAAAAATTGTCTAATCCCCTGCTACCCTGTTTGAGAACTACATCATGTATTTCCTAAGTTTATGATTTTAAAATGAAAATTTGTTTTATTCAAATCGTTTTATCCAAATTAACAAAGTTTTAGAGTAGTTTTTCATGAGCGGAAACTTTCTCAAAGAAAGGTCTTGTGCACTCGCTCAGAAATCCGAAATGTATGTATTCCTTAGTTTATGGTTTTAAGATAAATTTTTTATATTCAAATCTTTTTATCCAATTTTCTCACAACGAGGGCATGTGCGTTTGCTCGGAAATAAAGGAAATCAATCTCCGAGCGAAGTTAATGATGAATTCATGTATCTTTCTACTCGTACTCATATATATAGATATTTCTAAGATGTCACATAAACAGAAAGATAATATGTCTATGAAATTTCTCTAGTCTGATGTCAGGGTGTATTCATGGCCCTGGCAAAGTGCATTGACACTAAAATATAATGAGATAATTTGATCGACTTTCTATTTAGTATTTTTTAATTTTAATATTTTAACAAAGTTTTAGAGTTGAGTTTCATTTGTTAATTTTCTTTAGTGAACCATATTTTGAGAAAATTGCTCAAAGAAATTAGAAGCTCACTCACTCAGAAATAAAGAAGATTGATCTCTGAGCTAAGTTACAGGCGAGCAATAAATGCCAAAATCTATTTATGAATCATTCTAAATACAAATTTTTAAATTCTAGCTTTCTTAAGTGTGTTGTCTGTGTATATCTGTGGCCTTTGTAATTTTCAAAACTCATAAAATAAAATTTCTTATCCATATTCTTCTCAAACCATTCGTTTATTACTTTTCCCAACTCGGCAGAGACTTGTCAGCTCTTGAATATGCACTCAATGTTGGGGCTCGTGTCATTTTCAAATAACTCGTAAAATAGAAATTTGATTCACTTTCTACCTATTTAGTGTCATCCAAGCGGATATCTACAATATGATAATTTGGGCATTGGAACACTTTATATCGAAACCATGGTTTCAGCCAATTAAAATATAGTTTATGTGAACATAACAAATTTTGGTTATTGGAATCAAAAACATCAAATATTAATTTTTAACTTTGTTTAAACTAAGTTTGCCTGGAGCTAATGAGCTCTGAACATTCTCCAATAAGACAGATTTGTTCTCATTATGCAAATTTTGTTGAGTTCAGTCTTCTCCCAATTACTTTAGAAAATAGGATTTTGTATCTTCTCGTTGCACTTTAATATTTTATCATAAATCGTGTTTTAGCCGTTTCTTGCCAATTTTTAGCATTTCATTGTCAAATTTCCAAAAGTTCATTTTCAAGTTATTTCTTTATTGCAATTTAGCACTTAAAAATTGTTGCCATTTTATTAATGTTCAGTGCAATTATTTTATTGGGGCCTATTTTATTTTAATGATGTTTCGATCTCAATTTAGCCGGAAATAAATATATTTAAAAGCAAGCCTAACATGGCAAAACAAAAAGAGTGTAAGTTCATTATCAGTGGAACTCTTAATATGTATTTGATTATAGGTATTCCCATAGTATGTGTACCAGGTAAGGGTTAGGTCGTAATTTTATTCCGAATTTCCCTATTTTAGTTCTATTACGAGTTCGGGGACTGTCTGTGTCAGCCAAGTGAATATTTCCCTGCCTATAGGTTTCAGTCTCTTTTCACAACTTGATGTAAAGTAGGCAAACAAAATTAGTATCTCCTTATCGGTACACATACTTCTGGAGCGCTGCAGTAATATAAAGTCTCAGATTTGAAAGTGAACTTGCATAACTCTAGGATTCTGCGGAACCTGTTTTCAAAACCACTGCCTTCATATTTTAACATCAGGGATAAAATTGTCTGACATCTAAGTTTTCTCAAGTTATGCATAAACCAGAAACATAATACAGATATAAATAAGGTAAGTTTATTTCGACTCCAAATGAGCAAAAGGAAGAAATAAGCACAGCCTTGAATATTCAAATCAGCAATCAATTTACGCCTTTTGTTCGTAAAATCTTAATAGCACAATACAAATTATTGACTTTTGATTCACGTACATAGTCGATACACAGACATGTAACAAAGTTAATTAGAAGTATAGGCAGTGATAGGTTTCCGCGAACCCGTTCTTGTTTTTTGTTTCTGACGTCCCGTGATCGCAGTAAATGGGTAACCCGCATCAAAGTGGGTGACTCTTGCTACATATAACGTTCTGAAAGTTATGCATTAGATTTATGTACAGCTCGCCATATTAATGTAGCTAACGAAGTGACTCACATTTCCAGATATGACTTTTGAGATGTTCTAATCATGTAATACGTCACAAATCTATAGATTTTTTTCATATCTTTAAGTCATATCTTTAAAATGCAAAAAAGTAAAACCAGTTCAAGGAAACTAAGGCGCTCCCGAAATTAATCAAAACGCGAAAAAATAAGATAAAAACTAGCCTTATCTCTATTCGTGTTCGTATTGTGGAGATTTAAACTCGTAATATAATCCCAACTTGAATACTCGCAATTCATTGATGTTTTCTCGACCCCGGAAAAAATCCGCCTACGCCTTACTATCGGATTTAGACCCATTGCTTATTGGTCATTGTTACGGAAATAAACAAAGAAATCGATGATCGGGGAAACATGCATTACCTCCCGCCTCGGGTTACACACCGTTCTTTATTTTAAAAGGGGTCCTTCAATTGAGCCCGTCTGTCTTTGTTCAAAGTTAGAAAGGACGCTAATTCTTCTTTATTTCTAGCATCGCTCCTACTATTATAGGCTACTATGCAAAAACGCGATCTACGCTGGTTGATACGAAATTGTGGCCGTAGTTGCACTTTATTTTAAACTGTGTGTCGGTAATAGAGAAAGGGATTAATAGATAGAAGGCTCGTCGTCCGCCATTTGCATTGTGTTAAGAGATATTATAAAAAATCGTCGCTGATCCCAAAAATGTTTGGACCAATGATGGCGTGGTTCATCGCGTCATTGGGACTCATCGACCTATCAGTGCTATCAATTTTGTGCCACTACTTGTTTTTTGTTTCTTTGTTATGATTGTGCCTTTTTCCTATTCTGACACATTATCGACCAGTCAGTTCCATCAATTCAGTCCCACTAATTTCATCTTAGGTTTCTTTATTGTGTTTGCTTTTTTTCTTATTCTGACACGTTGGCCGGGAAAGCCGGGGTCGACGCGCATTTGAATCAGGGGCAGCAAAGAGATGGCGGCGTTTCGCGGTCGCTGTAGGTTAGGCTTGTTCAGTCAGAGTTCAGTATTTTTATAGCTCTTGGTATTGTGGTTGTTTGTTCATAAGGCGGAGTGCAGTGAGATTTCTTTTTTGCTTATTTTTTTAATTTATTCGTGTATCTTTTCTAGACAGCTCATCCATTACTGCAAAAATGTGAGATTAGAGATTTGTTAAATTATTGCAGATCGCGCTCGCGCGTTAGTTCCGGCGTGGGCTTTTTACATGAAATTCTTTTTTACGTTTTATTGTGTTGATTTAAAGTGTTATTTACTTCAGTACTATTCGTATTTTGCGACCAACAGGGATCGAAGCGTAACTTGCCGTAATAATTATATTCTGAACTAGTAAAACACCTGTTGCAATTTTGCTCTTTTTCTTGTTAGGTTGAGCGACAAATTGTACTAAAATAGACCTAAATATTATTTTGTGACATGGTGCTAAAGAATTCGATATATATAGTTTTGTAAGTGTTCAATGTTTCTTTATTTATTGTTTTTCTGAATGCAATTATCTGTTCCGCCTTGTTTATTTGCAAACAAACGCACAAGATTTAATTTACAGGTGAAATCGAGGGAGACGGTGGGATTCATGTACATGCCCGCCGTAAGTAAGTATTATATAGTCGCAGAGATGTCCGAGGAGCTCTCTATCGGTATGGTAAGATGGGAATATGGCTTCAAAGAGCTGATGTTCCAAGGTACGTTGTAACAATGTTCTAGAATTAGATGACCGTGTGTTTCTTTTTGTGTTGTTAGCTTAAAAACTATTAGTCTCTTTTTTTTTATTTCAGTTTGTTGAATAGGAGAGTGCAATTCATGAATTGAGTCGGATGGCAATTTACAGATGTCCGCCAAGAGTTGATTATGACTGACTGATGTTACCATCGTATCGACTCAAGACTGATGTACTGAAGTAAGCGTGCAACAATTTTGATCACTAAACCCGAAAATACTCCCAATTTGTGTGAAGGTAGTAGAATACAATATTAATTAACCCTAAAATTGCGGTTATGAATATCATTAAACAAATTTACAAGTTAAATGTTCTTGTGCCAGCGAATTTAAAGTTCAAATTTTCTTGCCGAGACTCGTTATCCATGTTGTGTTAGTTGCGATACCATAAGAGCAAGGTCTTTTCATTGTAAGATGGCGGTCGTATGGGTTCATATGTCAAGGTGCCTTATAGCATTGCTCTGTTCCTGTTTTGTCCGTAAATATCTTATTAACCAATTAACCATGACTTTTACAGGTTAGACAGTGTATTGGCGTCGATAGATCTTTGCAGAATATTCTATTGTTTGTCGCAATACCTAATTTAAATATGATTGCCCGCTCTGTCCACTCTCCAAGCAATCCCTCAAGAATTGATTGTAAGTATAAGATGGTCGATTTCTTCTAGCGGGAGATCAAAGGGGCAGCCGCCTCGGACAGCATATGAGGTCGAGTTTAATGCTTAGTTTAAACATTTTACTCATACTTGACGTTTGATAGATATATACAGCAACCCCAAAGCATTTCATAGAGACCGGCCGTATACTAATCACCAAAGAATTTTAATTTAGTTGTCCACGATTCACGAGATTAGATCTCATTAAACGATGCATGTTTTATTCGCAGGTTTATTAGACGGATACAGCTTGTAATCGAAGTCTGTATCGAGATTGCAGAAATTGAGCGTGTATCTATTTCTGGATTGTAAGCTTTCCTTATTTCGGTGAGAAATAAGGAATACGTGTACATTGTTGACATTTTTTGTGTTCTTATATCATTGTGTCGGTCGTTAAAAGCTTAAATATGAATACACTTCAAACTGGCTTCGCGGGTAATCCACAATGCATAATAAATGTTCAACCTATGTCCTATCCCATTCCGTGCCTCACGGGCAGTGGCGTGTCAAACTTTTCTGCTGCCCGAGGCGAGTTTCTGATAAATGCTGCCCCATATACCTAACTTATAAAAATAATAGCGAGAACACATATATATTATAGATGTTATATTACATAAGAACAAAATATAGTTTGTACAACTATTATATATATTTAGATAATCAAAACTAAGCAACAAACTCACCCCTATAACGTGCTGCAAATGGGCGGCTGCCCCTCAGGACACGTCACTGCTCGAAAGAAGCTACGCAAGCAATTAGCTTCATCTAGTCTTTTGCGTCGTCGATGTACCCCTTTTTTACAGGCATTACATGCGGAAGACAGATGGTTACGAGAACAGAACGATTCTATTGTGTTTCTGACCAGACTAAGGTAACTCTTTACTACTATTTGAGCGTTCGCATCTTTTCAAGACGATTACAATTTGTTTTTGATGGTTTCATATTAAAACTAAGTCCACAATTAAAATATTTGTCGATAGATGTTTGGGCAATCTAAATTATAACAACAAAACATTCATAATTAAAGAATTGTTAATTACCGCCGCCATGAGCCAAATGTGGAATTGCGCGTGGGCAAATACAGAGACTATGTAAGCAGTACGATCAGAAAAAACAGTTATTATTATCCATCAAATCTATGAAATTCTGGGAAAACTTAATTTAAACCAGTGGTCGGCCACCACCGAGCCGCGGACCATCGCCGGTCCCCGAAAACGTTACTGCCGGTCCGCAGAAAGGTGACACAAAAACTGACAAAGCCCTTATAACATTTCTACAATCAAACCACTACAAAAACTGCGAACAATTAAACCAGTGGTCGGCAACCTTTTTCGAAAGACGGACCGGTAAAGCCCGGACAAAATTTTGGCGGATACCTTTATACAAACGAAGTAATCTAAGCGTTAGGAAATTTATGTTAATATTTTTAAAAACAAAGGTGATGCTGCTATGTAATGCGAAATCTGCATTTGTTTGCCGACCAATAAACAATCAAAATTTTATCAATTACGAACTGATACACTTTCATACTGTATTTTTGTAGGCTCCAGATACAGAAGACCGTAGGATCTGGCAAACGGAATAAAGGTGCAGAATTCTATTTCTTTGCTTCGGTTAAATTCCTAAAGTAAGTAAAGCTATTCTGAACAATTTAAACCCGTTCTTACTGCACTTTTATGTATGCGCCCTGTGTCCATATATTTCAGCTCTTGTACGCATTCGTGTGACACATTCGTCTAATAAATCACTTAAACTTAACTTTTCACTTAAACAAGCTAATATGCTTTGTATTGGCCAAATTGAAAAGGTGACTGAATATGATATCCGTGACGTGATTGCCATATTTCATT